AGTGCATTTACTGACCGTGTATTCCCCAACCCACGGCAGTTGTAGCAGAGAATCCTCATCTATTCCCTAAAGGGGATGGGCTCCCCGCGCCTTTTTCCCCAGTTCCTTATTGCGTTCCTTTTATATCAGAGTATTGCTTTTCTGCTATTGGAGTACCAACGTTCGCTTTCGACCCTTTGCATCTTCTCTTTTGTCACCGGCGCCGGCTCAGGCGCCGGCGCCATGGATTTCAATTATAACACTAAACAGACTTTATATATCATATAATCAATAAAGATATAATCATTATAAAAAAAAATTTATAATATCTTATCCTAAGACATCCATTAATCCATAAGATAGATTACAATATTATCCAAATCATTCATCTTTGAATATGGTACATCTACTAAGCAATAAATCAATAATATATTTTTGTTAACAATGAGGGGGAAAGTGAAAAGGTGGAGAGAGAATTGAGCGAAATGAATTAGATTTTGATTTGGGTGGTTACTCAATTACATTTCTCCTATTTATTTTCTTGAGTTGTTCTCAATATCATTGGCATGTTACAATTTGGTTCATGTATTTTTATATGCGAAGAAATACTATTTGTGGGACTGATAATGGGAGTGAGAGGCTAAGATCATACCCGCCCAACATACATCAAACTTTTTGAAGAATTTACTCATACTCACCTGATACCCAATCAATTCTGGAATTCTTTATATTCACTAGGCCAGGAACAATTAAGTACATGCAACCACGGATTTTATTGACATCCCTAATCGCACTTAGAGTTTTGTTAGTGAATTGTCAAAATCTAGAACATAGGGAGATTTTCTGATTTCTTTATTGAACTTATACTCAACCCATAATCTAATTTTCTAAAAAATAAAAAGGTTGAACTAACACAAATAATGATATAGTTAACGATCCTTAGGGATGAGATAGCATGACTACTCCTAAAGGGGTTGGAAAAAATGATACCTCCTATTAATTATGACTTCTAAGGTAATAAATTTGTGTTGCAGTGGAAATTAAAAATTCATATTAATCACATTCATAGTGGTGCAATTAATTTAGTTGTCCGTAACATAAATGAATTAAAATCATAAGGGGAAAAATACGAAAGGGGAATCGGCGAATGAAGAGATGCAATATTGAGATTTTGCCTTAAAAAGGCATGCAAAGGCAGATATGAGATTTTCTCCCCGGCTCACTGTCTTTCTCTCTCAACTCCGTGTGCTTTCTCCCTTTTCCTTTAATTTTTTCCCCCATTTGCCACTATTTAAGAGAGTTACTATTTACCGACCAACAAATTACTATTTGCCGCCTACCAATTTTGTGAAAAAGACAATTTTGCCCTTCAATATATTTCTTTATAATGCTTCAAAACTCTAGTTTTTTATTCATTCAACACACTTTCCCTCACACTGCCAACAGATCACAATCTGCTGGAGAATCTCGCCGGAAAAAATCTAGTGGCTGGAAAACTCTTCTCGCCCGCAAACTAAAAGGCGTCATAAAATGAGGTAATATTCTATATCTTGGCAAATGTGGAATATCTAGCGAGGAAAAAAAATTTGAGCAAAAAAAGGGTTGACGGCGACTGGTACGAAAACATTTTTCAGAAAAATTTTGTCTGTACGAAGTCAATTTACGTAGAGCCAAGTTAGGTACGAAAATGGTTTTCGGAGTATAATGCTTGGTACGAAAAAGGTTTTCGGAGGAAACTGCCCGGTACGAAATAAGACTTCGTACCATGCAGTTTCCTCCGAAAGCAATTTTCGTACCGGGCAATTTCCTCCGAAAACCTTTTTCGTACCAAGTAGGATGGTCCGAAAATTTGTTTCGTACCGGTTTTCGTAGCACTAGTTCCGGTACGAAGGCGATTTTCGAACCGACCAATCTGCTCCAAAAATGGCCTTCGTACCGGGACTGGCGCTACGAAAATCAACTTCGTACCATGCTTCGCCTACCGGAAATAATTTTCGGAAAGGTGGGGAGACAGAGAGTGAAAGGTGGGGAGATGGAAGAACATACCTCTGTTGCCGACGATCTCAAACCCAGAATTCAGCGAGCTTCTCCACCTTGCTTCCTCAAGCGCGGCTACTGGTTGCCTACAGCGATGGGGAGACAGAGAGTGGAGGGTGGGGAGGGCAGGAGGATGGGGTGGGCTGGCGGTGGATGGGGTAGCTGGCGGCGGTAGTCACAAGGGGAAGGGTTTTTGCGGCGGTGGTCACAAGGCTGAAGGGGAAGGGTTTTTTCAATTTTGAACCAAGGGTAAATTTGTCTTTTTCATATAACTATGGGCGGCAAATAGTAATTTGTTGGGCGTTAAATAGCGATTCAGCTATTTAAAGAGGAAGTCGTCGCGGGAGGAAAAGTAGAGAAAGAAATTGGGCTTTTGTTGTTTGATAATTACATTTAGGCATTTTGATTTTAAAGGGCAATTCTATCATGGGCTCATAACTAAAAGCTCAGTTGTGGACTGTGGCGTAGCACGGCTTACAAAATGCTAGTATTATAGAATTCAAAATACTGATAAAAAAAACCATAAATAACTAAATAAGTCGATTGAGGGTGTGAGTCATATGACTCATATCCAAGGTTGTCAACCCGCGGGTTGACCCGGATTAATTCCGGACCCGTCTCTAAAAATGGGCTACAGCTGCCTAGTGAACAATCAGCCCGGATCTAGTCAAACCCGGACAAACCCAGTCAAACCCGGACAAACCCGACGAACCTGGGCGGTTTGACCGAGGGAGAGGGTTAGCGGGTCTCCTTTCTGTGCGGCGCCGTTTCAATTTTGGAGTGTCCTCCCCAGCATAGACCGCCGTCGCAGGTCGTCGGAGTCTTCCTCCCAGCAATCGACGACCGCGCACCAGCCGCAAACGACCTCCTTTCGTCGGCTTGTCGATATTCGCAAGAAAGCAAGCCAGGTCGTCACCGGATCTTTGCAAGTCAGGTCGTCGCCGGATCACCGAGTTTCCGCCAACGATCCATCTGGACCTGTTTGATAATCGCGGAGAACAAAGGGAGGTTTGGTTAGGATTTGTGGAGAGACTCGTGATAATGGAAGAAGCTGGGCTTGGGGCGGTGTTTTTCTCTGTTCGGAGAAGAGGAAGAAGTAAAGGAAAGAGAGGGGAAAAGGGGTGAGAGGCAAGAAAGAGAGAGATGGTCTGATGGTCGTGGGGAAAGAATAAAATAAAGGGAGAAATTTTTGGGTGAAATTAAGGGGGAAACTTGGGTGGGCGGTTCACTTTTTGGAGCCAAATAAATTTCGTCAAATTCAAACCCCAAAATTTGTGTAAGTTACAGTAATAATCGACACAAATTCCCTAAAAAATTGTGTAGTGTTGCATTTTTTCTATGTTGGATTCAGGATAAGTATAATACATTGACTTTTTTCATATTTCCGGGCTAATCCGAGCTAATCCGGGTGATCCATTAACCCTTGACCCACTAGCTCATCCGGGTCTTGGTCGACCCGCGGGTTGACAACCTTGCTCATATCTCATATGGGAAAATACTTGGGTATGATATAATGGTGGGCTGAGATGAGTGTGCCGGGTGGAGAAATACTTGGGTTTAGTATGAAATGGGCTTGAGAGTTAACTTAACAAAATGCAAGGTCAAGTAAGAAGTGGGCTAGAGCCTGGGGAAGACCACAAGCCCATTTAGTATTTAGGTGGGAGAACAAAAAAATTAGGTGGTTCATGGACTATAATACCCCTACCGTAAGTTAAGAAGAGGTCAGAAATTTTTGAATGAATAAAACCCAATAAAGTTCCACTATCTATTATTTTTTAGATTTAGATTTAAAGATTTTAACTATCCGAATTAATGAAAAAAGAATTTTAAAATTTATATTATTTGGTAATTCCGATTGCTAACCTTCGATAAAAAAAATTAAAATCGTAACGTTTTATCAAATGATATGTTCAGCTTAACCAAAATAATCAAAATGAATCCAAAAAAATATTAAGAATTTATTGATAAAGGTATTTAGTGAGATAAATAAAAATTAAAAGAAAAATGTGTTAAAGAAATAAAGGAAAGTATTTCTTGGATTGGAACCTCAAGGATACTTATTTAGCAACTAAGGTAGGAAGAATCTGGATTTTCAGGTTTTGGATAGTGATGATTAGTATGTGCATGATTTTGTAGAGAGTGGTGAGAAAATGGCGATTACCTTTGTGTATAGTTTACATGAAGTAGCATAAAGATAGAAAATGTATAGGAAGCTGGCAACTAAGGTGGACAACTTCAGTCCTTGGTTAGTGGTAGGAAATTTCAAAGTTATTACTTGTAGCATTGAAGCCTCTAATACCCTAGAAATAGGGGAGGAACAAATAATTTTTACAGATGGATAAAAGGAATATAGTTGATAGATTATAGAATGAATGATCCTTGGTTTACTTGGACGAAGAAGCAGGTAGGTAACCCTATTGCAAAGAGACTAGATATGCCTCTAGTTAACACAAATTTGCTTGCAGGATTTTCACCAGGAGCAATCAAAATTCTCCCTTTGTCTTTCACACCACTGTGGATCCTTACCCACACTAAAATATTAATATCGAAACTCCTCCCAGGCCTTTCAAGTATTTCAGTGATTAGAGAATGCATCTTAATTATGAGATAATGGTCAAAAGTGGCAATCTGAGTTACGGGACTGCTCTGATTTGGTCCCGCATCGTCTCCGAGGTAGTAATGGTAATTTCAACCCGCTTTACGGGTATTACCTGACCTGATTCATGATGAGAGGCAGGTATTATCCAACTCGTAGTAGTGTGGGACGTGATATAGGTATCTACTTCCGACCCGCCCTGCTCTGCTCCGTTCTTTACCCATTTTATATTAATTTCTAACGATATCTATGCATATTTCTCTTATTTTGATTTTTCTTCAACTAATTAAAATTAATATTTCAACTTGTTATACTCAATTACTCAATCTATTATCACTATTTTACATTCATAAAGTGTTTTCACCTTTATTTTATCATAAAAAGTAAAACTTGTGTATATTTTTTTCAAACAACATGTAAGAGTGGGTCGACCCTCCCCACGCCATACCCGAGCGAATTTTTACCCGCCACGAGATAGCGTGGGGGGCGGCGCCCCATTGCCATCGCTACTCTAAACAATGTAGAATAAACACAGACCATCCTTGACCACAGCGACTGGTGAGGTCTCTATATAAATACTTAGCTCAGCTGCACCTGGATCAGAAAGGCAGAAACTTGAAAAAAATTGCTTCAACTGAATTTATAAAGGTACCTCGGACCCACAAAATGAACTGTCCGTTTCGGCAAACTCTCTAATATCAATTCCACGATTGATTCTGCCATCTTTGGCTCAGCTAAAGGATGGAGATGGAAGAATAAACCTCAAGAATGTACGGTCAAGTTGCAATAACCAACTAGATAACCGAAGCATGGAGGTGTTCTCACTATCATCTGCCAGCAGAAAAGTCCCTTCCTTTCCCAACTATATGCTCTTTTTACTTAACTCCACCGACAAAAGTTTCTAAAAGCATTGCCGCTCTCATTGGAAAACATGAACAAAAATCAACTAGATGCCCAAGTTAAATGAACAGTAACTAAATAGAGGCATCCATCCCATCTCCCACCAAAATTGCAGTCTTGTAAAGGGCTGGGACAGGAAGCAGTGGTGCTTATCACTTCAGATAGGTGGAGGAAATCCATAGCAGCACATAGGTTAGCAAAGAAGTTATCACTTCAAAGCTCCTAGGTCCTTTAATGATTGGTACCGGAGGGATTATAGACACCATCAAGAAGGTTCCAAGCAGCCACGAGAAAATGAAAGCTGCAACCCTGCAATATGGCAACAAACAAACAAGTGCTTAAAGCTTTACTATCCATAAAGAAGACAAGTCAAAACAAAAGAGAACTCGAAGCAATACCATACAGCACATACCCGTAGAGCGTAGCTCTCAGTCTGCTGTTCAATCGGTCATATATGAAGTACATAGTAGCCACTAGGGAGATTGCTACTTGAAGGGTTGGGCCTTCCTCAGTTGGAAACAGAACAGTGAGAGCTCCAAGTACAAGGAATGCAACTGTGGTTTTAACAATGACACTTGTTGAAGGGGTGCGGAATCTGTTTGTCACGGCCTGCACAAATCGGGACTGCTTAACTTCCCTAACCTTTTTGTTGATATCGATCTTGGGGTTCTTTCTATCATAAAACTTCTGCATGATTATCTTGTCATGTGCCGTTTCAATTGCATCCACACTCGGTTTGTGTCCACCATATCTCTGAATTAGGAAGTTTCGTGCACCTTGAATTTCATCTTCAGAGGCTTCCCTGCTTATCCCAAGTCGTTTGTACGGGTCCCTTACATGGATTCTCGGGAAAACAACTGAACTTGCAGAGCCAAATTTGTGATAAGAAAAGTATTGAGGAAAAGAATATCCCTATCTCAGTCTAAATATAGCACCAACAACCACAATGAACTAAATCATAAGGTACAATATAGACGACAAAAAGTTAATGGTACAATGTGACATCAAGAACAAGTGATAATGTTATATCTACATGCACCTAAAGCACAAAGAAGAACAAAGGAATCCACCAAAGCACAATAAAGCACATCAAGAGAGGGCTATCCTACCTGAAATCTAATAACTATAGACATACTCATAACTGGAAACATGTACAAGAACATGAAGTTCTTTTTTTTTTTTTTTAACATAGTACAAGAACATGAAGTTCATTCCTGTGATTTAGTTAAAAGAGTTCTTCGGAATAAAGTGAGACCAACAAATTGATAAGCAGCTGAAGATAACTCTTGCGTATTGAGAAAGGGTACACAACTATTTTAATCCAATGTATGTTCTGCATAAAACATGTCATCTGCTTTTTGTCTACAAACAAGATGTGTCTTCCCAAATTTCTAAAATTGAACTGAAATTTAAGCTAAACACTTAGTAATCCCATCAAACACCGAAGCAGAAGATTAAGTACATTCAACCATCAAGAAGATTCATGAATACCAGATTGGTTATCCGTACCATCTCCGCCATAGGAAGCATCCATAGCGCATTTGACAACATAAGTTTGCCGCGGTTTGAATGTTCGCACCAGTCTTGTTGCCCAGCTTCTGCAGAGCTCCACCAGGAAGACCAACTCATTTATTTCACATGAAGTCCCAAAAGTTGAGGGGTTGAAATCGAACAATATGATTGCACACAAAATACCTTTGCAATGGGAGAAACCCAATATTCTTCTCTCGAGTTCTATCCCCGCTACAAACAGCTAAAACACGTTGGCCGGAAGTACTCAAGCCAGGCGCCCGCGCACCACACTTAGTGGGAGCAACAGCTAGTCCAGACATACTCATCTCTACAATGAGCCCTCTAACAACATAGCAAAACCCAAACTGGAAGCTATGAAAACCTTGATATAACCAGTCTAGAGAAAGAGTAAGCAGATTTCTGAATCACTGGCATTCAAGAACTACAGGAGTCACCGGAATTAAGAAGATAAGGAACAATCCAGAAGCAAAAGGGGCCGGAAATCCACTGAGTCAAACGAATTGAATTTATCAGGCGCAAGAGAAGAACTGAATGAGACGTAACCTTACCAGAGCTGCCGGCCTCCTGCGGCGGAGATTCCGAGTCGGAGAAGCGAGGAGCTTAGAGCTGGCGGAAGAGCACCGAACCCTCCCTCTGCATAATTCTTTCTGAGTGGAAGGAAATAGCTCAACTTTGGCTTTGGTTGTGGGGAGTCCGGATCTGGTGACTAAGGGGGGGTCCTTAGTCACTTGGATTTTGTTTTATTTATTATTATTGAATACTTTTTCCATCTGCTAGACTGCTACGTCTCTTCCCTTTCCCTTTTTGCAATGTCCAGAGAGAGAGAGAAAGTCGTGGGCGGAGGATGAGAGAGAGAAAGAGAAACGCGGCGGCTACGCTGGAGGAGAGAAAGGCGGCCGGCGATGATGGAGATCTCGATGGCGCCGACGACGGTGGAGAGAGGCGGCGACCTCGATTGCCGTTGTCGCAGAGAAACAGAGGAGAGAGAGAGAGAGATCGTGGCGGAGGAGAGAGAGGCGATGGCGGAGAGAGAGAGAGGCGATGGCGGAGAGAGCTTCGACGATGATGGAGGAGAGAGAGGCGATGGCGGAGAGAGAGAGAGGTAACGACGGCTGTAGAGAGAGTCGGCAGCGGCGGCGGCGGCGGCGGCGGCAGTGGAGAGAGAAGAACAGTGATTTGTATAGTTTGTATGTTTTGTAACATTAGTTTGTATTGTTAGTATTTTTGTACAAAATGTCAGTATGGTTTGTATAGTTTGTAACATTAGTTTGTACTCTTAGTATGTTTTTCTTTGACAGTTTGTATTCTTAGTATGTTTTTCTTTGACAGTTTGTATTCTTAGTATGTTTTGCTTGTATTCTTAGTATGTGGACAAAAATAACAAACATTACAAACATGGTTGACAAAAATGACAAACATGTGGACAAAAATAACAAACATTACAAACAATACCAAAGAAACCAACAAACATTACAAACATTACAAAATAACAAACATTACAAACATTGCAAACAAACATTACAAACATTACAAACAAATGAATACAAAGTATACAAATCATAACATAAAAGTATACAAACTTGAATAACAAAAGTTACAAATTACAATATATACAAAATAGTCATACAAACATTACAAACAATACAAACATTACAAACATGGTTGACAAAAATAACAAACATTACAAACAATACAAAAGAAACCAACAAACATTACAAACATTACAAAAGAAACCGACAAACAGTACAAAGCATACTACACGTACAAAATATAACTACTTACAATACAGATTGGTAAACTTGTATTACAAACAAATGAATACAAAGTATACAAATCATAACATAAAAGTATACAAACTTGAGCAACAAAAGTTACAAATTACAATATATACAAAATAGTCATACAAAGATTACAAACAATACAAAAGAAACCAACAAACATTACAAAATAACAAAGTGTACAAACATTACAAAATAACCCGACAAACAGTACAAAGCATACTAAACGTACAAAATATCACAAAAAATGACAAACAATACAAAACATACTAACAGTACAAATCATAATTCCCAGAACTCTCTCTCTCTCTCTCTCTCTCTCTCTCTCTCTCTCTCTCTCTCTCTCTCTCTCTCTCTCTCTCTCTCTCTCTCTCTCTCTCTCTCTCTCTCTCTCTCTCTCTCTCTCGTTGCACCTGGTGGACAAAAATAATTCCCAGAACTCTCTCTCCTTGGGGAATAAATTCCATTCCCAGAATTCTCTCTCCTTGGGGAATAAATTCCCAAAAAGTGACCGCATGGAATTCTCTGGGTCGGCGATGGCGGATGCCCGGCGGGGAAAAAACGAGACGGACGGTACGGAGACAGGAGGCGGCGGGCTGCTTAAATTTTTTATTCATTTTATAATTAAATATAAAAATAAATATGCAATTACTACATTGCCCTTCATTAAATTGGATTAATAGGAACCCTTGGATTTTAATGAAGTTGTGTGGCTGAGATTCACTTAGCCATGTGACTAAGGGGACCCCCCTTAGTCACCTGATCCTAGCCCGGTTGTGGGACCATTTTGCCGCCGCGACTTTCTATCTTTTGTTTTGACGGTGCGTGCGAGATTGACCCGTGAGGGGCTAAGATCAGGTGACTAAGGGGGTCCCTTAGTCACATAACTAAGTAAATCTCAGCCCTTTCATCTAATTAAAATCTAATGGCTACAATTAATCTACTTTAATGAAGGGCAAAATTGTAAGTTCATGATTATTTTTATTTTCAGTTATTAAATAATTTATTTCTGGGTCATTCTCCCTGCTCGTCCGCCTCGTTTTTTTTTTCCCGGCCGTCCGCCTCTTTTTTTTTTCCCGCTGCTCTTCACTTTCTGTTGTGGGAATTTATCCCCAAGTTTATTCTTTCCACCAGGTGCGGAGAGAGAGAGAGAGAGAGAGAGAGAGAGAGAGAGAGAGAGAGAGAGAGAGATTTTTTCTGATCGGAATTTTTTTTCCGACGAACATCGTCGCCGGAGAAGAATTTCTCGGCGACAGTGCTAATTTTGTGATGTTTGTTGACATATTTTGTAATGTTTGTATACTTTGTTATTTTGTAATGTTTGTCGGTTTTATTTGTAATGTTTGTACACTTTGTTATTTTTGTGCACCATGTTTGTAAACTTTGTTATTTTTGTCAACCATGTTTGTAATGTTTTTTATGTCTAAAAAACAACCGGGTTGACTTTTGGATGGACCTCCTCTATATAGGGATGGAGCCTCCAAAGTCAACCCGGGTGTTTTTTCCAGTTCGTATGGATTGTCGGTCTAGTTTGTCATTTTTTTCCACCATGTTCGTACTGTTTGTATGTCTAAAAAACTCCCGGGTTGACTTTGGGAAGGAGCCCCTCTATATAGGGATGGAGCCTACAAAGTCAACCCGGGTGTTTTTTCCCGTTCGTATGGATTGTCGGTCTAGTTTGTCATTTTTGTCCACCATGTTCGTACTGTTTGTATGTCTAAAAAACACCCGGGTTGACTTTGGGAAGGAGCCCCTCTATATAGGGATGGAGCCTCCAAAGTCAACCCGATTGTTTTTTCTTTTTGTACGGTTTGTATTGTTTGTCAGTCTAGTTTGTATTGTTTGTACAGTTCATACGTTTGTAATGTTTGTATGTTTTGTCGCTCTAGTTTGTACTGTTCGTATGTTTGTATGGTTTGTACTGATTGTAAGTTCGGTTTGTATACTTCGTAATTTTTCATAATACCCAAACTACCCCTGCCATTAATTAAATAGCCCTTCCCACTTTTTAACCATTGGATTGAAGTGTCCAGATCTAATGGCTAGGAGGGACTTAGTCAAGTGACTAAGCACCCCCCCTTAGTCACCGGATCCGCACTCCCGTGAGGGCGCGACCACGGTGATCCTTAGTTCCTTACATATGTCCAGCCGACAACGTTTCGGGAGTTAAGAAACAGGTGAAAAATTAAAAACATTAGTAAATACAATTTATTTATTAGCCAAACTTTTTGGTAATCCACAAAAATATATAGCCTAAAACTATTAAAATGCAAAAAACTAGCCAATTTTTATTTTTGGTGAGAACTAGCCAAACATTTGATACGATTCCAAAAAAAAGGTCATGTTCCGTAAAATTTGTTAATTCTAACTATGTGTTAGACAGATTTATAGGTAAGCCGATACATCTAGGGTAGCTCAATTGATTCGGGTATAACTATACATGTATTACCCTCTCATATCTTTATGGTTTGAATTGGCTATCGTTGTTTCTCGACCTATTTATACTATGTTGTGCTTTTTTGTCACATTTCAGGTCATAATACGCATGGAAAGATCGGGGATGAGTTTCGAGCCATTCGGAGGTCAAACGAGCCAAAAAGTGGAGCTTGTGCAAGGTTCATGGGCATAATCCAATTATCACCCTCTGTGGGAGTGAAAATCTCCCCCCAAACTGTGAATTGCAAGACTTCACGGGCAAGAGGCAATAGTCACGCCTTGAGACTGAGAGGGTGAAAATCTCCCCAGACCGTGAAGTGTGCAAATTCCAGCATCCATTGTGCATCTCGCGGGCTGTGCAAACTTCAAGGTCTTAGACCGTGAAAATATCCAAAAATGGTGCGTTTTTGGCCGAGATCACCGTATGCTTGCTATTATCAACCATGTGAACAGTGATAGTGAAGTTGGCACTGTGGAGCATATAAAAAGAAAAATAGCTGGGAGAGAGAAAGGAGAGCTGGTTTTGGAGAGGAACTTGGTTATGGCTCTAGGGTTTCGACCCAACACACCAAAGAAGAGTTTTTAGAGAGAGAGAGTGACCTTAAGTGATCTTGTAGCTTAATTGGAGGCTTGGGTTGATCTTGGAGTCAAGGATTCAATCCTATAAAATGAAGATCTTGAGCTATTTTTGTAATCTCTCTTCTCTCTCTATGAACTAGACCTATTTCTCTTAGGTTGATGAACTGTGATCTAGATTTTGGTTTGAAGTTGATGTATGTGACATATTCTATGTTTGATTGATGATTTTATCTATTTGATGGATGATTTTCATGAATTGCGTGATTTTTTATTCCACTTCATGTCAATTGAGCTTTTAATCTAGGAGGAAGATAATCTCCTTAGAACCCATTATTGGCGTCTCCGAGTCACTCCTCATTCTATGTCGTCCGGGTAATCCCCTAGGGAGTTGATTCGATTGATCTCCTAATGATATAGGAATAGGATTGCCTCAGTTTGAATAGAGCGCTCCCCACCCATCACTTCGTCGTTCGGGGTCAATCCCGAGTGAGTTGATCTCCTAACGGTAGGGTAGTGAGTCGATCATGCTAGGATAGTACGCAACATCGATCCAAATGATAGAACTAGGGGGATTCAAACCTAAGAGAGCTCCACCACTTATAATTAGCTAGGTTAGTGGTTAGCTAGATTAGATTAGTTTTCCTAATCACTATTATAGGTTGGCTAGATAAAGAAACCTAACCCGAAGTCAGTTACACCTAGGAGACCTATGGTTCGATAATTTTTATTGCTTGTTTACCCTATGCTACACTAGGTCATCAGTTCTGCTTGACTGTCGATTGGGATGTGTAGTTAGAGTCCACCTGCTGAGATCTAAAACATGCTAAAACATGCACAAACCTAGCGTAAAATTGCTCCTCAGACGATGCAAAGCCACAAACATCAAAAGATGAAGGGGTACAAATATATGCAATTACACTCGAATCAATGCGGTAGTTAACCAATAGTCGTTTGCCACTGAAATGGTCGTTAATGCCACTAGATAGCAACCATATTAGATCGACGAGGAGTAAAGGTACAAGTAAAATATGTAAACATTGTTGAACGAGACTACACTTCCTTCAAGAGAGCTCCCCCACATAATGTAATACATTCTTGAGAAAGACCCACCAAACTAGTAATTGTGAGCCACCACATACATTCACCACAAGAAACCCATGCGTTAGACATCAATTCATTGCATCTCGAAAGGCAAGAAGTTTCATGAGAAACAGATTCTACATACCTTCATATTTATTTTTCGAAATGCAAAAAGAAGCTAACCCTCCACGGCAAATCCAAAGAAGCCAATTCCTCCACCCTGCCCCCAACGCATGGACCCATCACAGTGAACCAAGATACAATTAGTTGGAAATCAATTGTCTTGCACCTTTCTGCTATAAGAAGGATGTTCCCATGAAGACCCCAACTACATTGGAAGAGACAATGTAGGATTGTCTCCAAACTGGCCAATTCCTAGAGCTCTCTCGCCACTCAATAATAGAAAAAAAAACAATGTTGGATTGTCTCCATTCCTTCTAAACATACTATACATGTGCTTTTTGCCACCAACATTTTCGTCAATAACACCACTCTGACCCGAAGGAAGGCACGTACAACCCTTCAGGCAAAGAATTTCAATTCCGGCGATAGAGGCAAGCTCCATAGCATTTTCTAGAATGTGATATAAAAAAGCCAACAATGCAGGGGGAGATAGCATTAAGCTGAGAAGGATATAAATGGTGCACCGTTTTTACAGTGTAAACCCAAAATTTGAGTAGTGCAAGATCAAACGATCCTATCCAGGTGAGAAGACAAGGGTATGGATAGAATATCCTGAACAAAGTCAGAAGAAAAAAGGGATCGCAATAGCTCTAAGTGTCAATCATGATATATCATTTCCGCGACCAACTCAATAGAAAGCATTACACTCGGTATTAGAGTGAGAAAGGTAGGAGAGGTTTTTGGTATCCACTTATCTGAAAGAAAGTGAACTTGTGCTCCAGTTCCAATTTGCCACCGAAGCCCCTTTAGCAAAAAGTCACTACCTTCAAGAATTCATTGCCATGCCTAAGACAACCGGTTCACAGCTTGAGCTTCAAGGAAAGAACAATGGAGTGGTAGCGAGCTCAAAAAATTTGCAGAAAGTTCAATTGAGGATCCAGGATAATCCGCTATGCGTTCTTTGCAAGGAGAGCCACATTAACATTTGTCAAAATCTCAAAACCCGAGCCCACTAACGCATTACTATGTCATGCCTCAGGATAGGAAATCCAGCGAATCTCGTCTTCTTTATCTTGATCTGCCGACCAAAGGCGCAAAACTTGACCATTCAACTTGTGACACAAAGTGGAGGAAATAGAAACACAAAGATAGCATAGATAGATGTAGACCCGGCAGAATTAATAACCATCTCCTTTGCAGTGAGAGACATAGACTTTGCTTGCCACAATAGGATGCGGGCAGCAAGTCCATCCTCCACAAATCTGAAAGTTTGCACCTTTGAACGTTGGATCTAGACTGGAAGACCTAAATATTACTCAGGACTGCTCGTTCTTGCTCATTAAAATTAGCACTAACCGTAATAGTAGATTTTTGTTCGGTTACTTTTAAACCACGCGAAGTTTTAGGGCTCAATTACTTTCATTTTTGTTTCTTGTTTCCTATTTTCATTCCATAAATCCGGCACCAGACACGAGAAAACTTGTTTACTTTTCATCCTGTTTCATATTCGTTTCCAACTCTAGAAACATAAAGTGGTAGCTTCCTCGTGTTTCCACCATTTTCCAATATCTTTTTCTCATACTTTTAACAAACAAATTTTTTTTATTGATGAGGTGAGATATTCAAATAACATTACTCAAAATTATTTTTATGACTTTTACTTTAATCCTTTAGTTTTCTTTTTTACCTAACCTTTATCTTTTATTATATATTGTCACCTTACGGACTATTTGAAACCAAACAAAATGATATTCATTTCACTTCAAAATGAGTGTTTAAAATTCATTTCAAATGAATTCCTATCTTTACAAATTAACTAAACTGAATTCCCAAACATGTTTAGAACACATTTATGATTGAATTAAATCAAAACCTTCCCAAATGTACTCTAAATTTAATAACCAAATTGCTTCGAACATAATTTATATTCTAAAGTAATCATTGAAAGTGCACCAACTAATAGTGCTGCAAATGAGTCGAGTCGAGCCGAACTTTACCTCAGATTAAGCTCGACTCTTTAATAACATGTTGAGCTCGAACTCTGCTCATTTATTAACGAGTCGAGTAAAGCTAAAGGTAGACTTGTTTACTAAAATCTTGACTAATTTTGTATGTCATGTATGATACATGTGAGTGATGACAAAAAAATTAAAAACCATAAACCACAACTATATCTTTTATATAGGCGAAGATGAAAAGAAATATAAAAAAAAAAGTGAAGTGAATCTCTATATATACATATTGCATGGCTAAAAGACTTGCCAATTAGCAAGAAACACTCCATCCTTAGCAATTGTCACCCAAATATCACCTTAACATGTTGGATTGATAAAATACTTGCCAATTAGCAAGAAGCACTCTAGTAGGGATGGCAACAAAATCCAAACCCACGGGTACCCACCCGACCCAATCCGGTCAACGCGGTTAAAATCCGTGTTGAGGGGTTTTGGGTCGAGTTTGGGTTTAAACCCGTTCACTATTCACCGGGTTGGGTTGGGTTTGGGTTTAGGTAAACCCGGCCCATGGGTACCCGCCCACTCATATAATTAATTTTTTCGGTATATTTAATATTCTAAACAACTATTCTTATTTATGTTTGTGGAGACATGTCTAATTTTTTCTTTTTAATTGTGTAGAATGAAGTTGATGTTATGGAGTGGAGACTAAAGAAACTTAATTGAAAGAAAGAAGCTTTCAATTAAACATGTTATTTATGGATAATTTGTGATTTGCTTCAATTTTCATGAGTTTTCTAGATTGGTGTTGAACAATTTGTATAATTAATTTGTGATTTTCTTGAATTTTCTAGAATGGTGTTTTATATATGGATAATTTGTATTGAGATATTGATATTTGACTTTAATTTTGATAAAAACTTGTAATTGTAAATTTTTTACCACAAAACCCGTGGATACCCATTAACCCGCGGATACCCAACGGATTGGGTTGGATTTGAGTTTTTCAAACCCGATGGATTTTACCCCGGATTTTTTTCAAAGATAAACCCATGGATTTGGATTTGGCAAAACCCGACCCGTGGCTATCCCTAATCTCTAGCCATTGCCATCCAAATACCACCTAACCGTTGCAATGGATATGGTCCTATCCCTTTTTGTTCAGTCTAATTTTTCGGCTTGGTTTACTCATTTTTCGGCTCGGTTCTCGGTCGGGAGTTAATTTTGGAGGGCGACTTTCATTTAAGGCTATGACTGGCTACCTCATTTGTTGTACAGTTTCTTATCGAACGCATATAAAATCAAAAGCTAATTGGAATACCAAGTGTTTCAAGGATCCCGAATATGGTTGCACATTTAAGTGCTACACGCAGATACAAATATGTTGCTGCGGATATCGTGCTTCATCAAGTTACACAGTAGTCGTTTCTGCGTTTAACTGTACACAATTAACTTACTGTACAAACTTCAACAGTGCTTTGTTGAAAACAAATGCAACATCACGGATATGCTTCGTGGTTCGACTGTACAATATCTGCCAGCTTTGAATGCTGCAACAAGGCAAACTTTGCAAATGAAAAGCAGGGAAAAGGAATAGTGGCACTAGCTCGCAGGGTAATCAAGACCAGAAAACATAAGGGCAACCGGAAAGTTGAACATTGATAAGGAGAAGCAAGCTTAGCGTGGACTTACCACAGGCCAAGATTGATTCGATGGTCATGACAGGAAAAGAGTTATAGTAGCAATATGGCCATTTTTCATCACCTGTCAGTTTAGTTTCCAAAAAAGGTTATTAATAATTCTAAAAAATAAATCCATCAGGCTGGAAAGTGAAACAGCTAATGGAATCATCATCAATAGCTCACCTCTAAGGCGATGTTCTGGTATCCATACACAAAAGTGGATCCAAAAGGGTTGCTTGTAGAACCTTGGGTTTGGATAGCTGCACGACCGCAGTCTCCTAGGATTTCCTGCAGTTTGAAATCATGCTTTCATCAAGCTTCTAAGTTGTGGACGGTCTTGTATGAGAAGAAGAAGAAGAAGAAGAAGAAGAAGAAGAAGAAGATCGTACCTTCACTTGCTCCCATTTAGTGCTAGGGTTGATACTCTGCTTCGAGTTATTTGCTTCAGAGGAGAAAGTAAAGAAGAAGCTAGTTTCAGTATTTTATATAACCACCACCAAACCTAAATCTTCTTCTACAAATTGCTAAGGGTTTCAAAACCTTGGATAACAAAATTGCACTTTATGTATGAATTGAAGTCCGCATGACCAGGATAGTTGCTATGAAGAACAAACTTCTTGATTTTATGAGTCTGGAAAAACAGAACAAATCATCATTCATCTGAAGCACAAAGTCTATACAAATGGAAAATGTAATGGAAGGAAAAGATAACAAAAAAAATACCTGGCCATCAAATAAGATGTCCAAACCACGAGTAAAATAATTATAGAAGTAATCGGCACAAAGGGTTGTTCTTGGACGTGGGTCAGAAGCAGAGTGAATGACCATCTGATCCACCTGTACTGATAAAAACTTAAGTCTGCAGAAGCTACCATTTTTTGCATGCTAATCCCATAATTCTAAATTGATATAACAACATTGACATGACAAACAGAAGCATAATGATGTACCTGCTTTTGATGGATGCCACAAGGACGCCCTAATTCCGTCCATACATCCTGTACATCAAAGGGAACTATGAGTAACACGCAAAACCGAACATATAGCAGCTATAGCCTATAGCTACCAATTAACAAGGGGGGGGGGGGGGGGGAATCTGTAGTGATTCAATTTATTGTTTACCTGTGGTGACGCACCAAACGGAATATGCTGTCCCCCGATTGAAAAGAATAACTCTTCGCCAAGCTGCAGCAATCAATTAACCATTCAAGCGGAAGGCTTACAAGTCACTAAGAATAGCATTTCCTTGTTAAGGCACATCTAAATGAGGACAAACCTTCACTTGCACCTCCTCCATGTACAGACTGCCAGCAGGTAAAGGAGGAGCAACAGCCTTGTCCAAAAGAGAGCCAACACCGACTTTTTTGTCACTAGAGCCATCATATATACAAACCCGGCAGGTGACTGGTGTGGTTCCATCCGGAAACTCCAGAGGCAGTTCAGCTGCCAATGGAAGGGAGAACAAGGAAATGGAAAATGAACGTTTGCATAAACTTTAGCTTTGCTCATAAACACAGCATTAATGCAATACCTTCTCTATCCTGACAGCAGTCTGCATACTGCCCAGGGATTGGAAATGCGAAAGACAGGCCCTTCAAAGAAGAAAAATCATGTAGGTGTATAATTCAAAGCTAACAATGGAACACAAGGAATCAGTTAATATTATTAACAAAGTTCATCTACGTACAGGGTAAAACAGGGTATAAACTCCCCTATCCTTGTCATAGATACCAGGAAATGTTGGGCCAAAGAGAGCATAAACAGCAACAAAAGTTGCCAAGGTGGACGGCCCCCTATATGTGAAGAGCATATAATCAACCATAAAATAGAAGTCAATAAAAGCGGAATTCAGAAGCAAGCAAGAATGGTATTCGATGTTTAGGCATAAAATACCCAATAATAGACGTGGCATATCGCATTTGGAGCCTCTTGACATCAAAGATTTCAACCAATCTTAGCCTCTGGAGTAAATTCAAAGTGAAGGAGTGAATACACTGCATTGGAAAGCAAACTTCATAGGAAGGGTTGACCAGAATCAATTACCTGGGACCAAGGATCAAATCGAAGATGGAAACCATGGTCCGGGAAGCTAATAACAATGTCTAGCTTCAAAGGTTCCTGCTTCAAAACACCGGCAATATCCCAATAAGGTGGGTGGTAAATGAAGAACGCTCAATATCATTACCCAAAAGAAGAGTCCCACACAACTTCAAAACTGAACCAATCGAGAAAGAAAAAAAATGTGTAGTGGCAACAAACTGTTAACCAGAAGGTTCAGGTAAACAAAACTAGCATACATGAACGAATAGCGAAATAATTAGATTCCAGTTTTCCAATCCAAACCTCGTCAAAGTACTTCACATGGACAACATCATAAATGTTGGGTTGCTGCTCAATCTGGGCAAATGCTTCGCATATCGGCATCCCTATATCACAAGCAAGCAAAAATTAACCGACACGTGAAGGGAAATTGATCGAAACAGAATCAAGGATCAGGTGCCACATGGAAAGGGATCACGAACAGGAAAGAAAAAAAGGGAATACTGCAGAATTTCAGCAAAAGAAAATTAAAGATTAGAAATAAGGAGAGCCATCGATAAGGTAGCGCAAACAGCAGGAGAAGAGAAAATCAAGTGAAAGTTGAATTGAGGAAGAAGAACAAACAAAAATAGGGAAGAAATTGAGCAATCGCAATTACCTAAAGAAAAGGGGCCGATGCCGAGGCCAGGGCGGAGATCGAGGACGATGGCGCCCATAGCGGTGCCTTCGCAGCGTCTCCGTGGTCGCTGGTGTTGTTGCATCATTTGGTGTTTCGATATCCGAAAGGCAGCGATTTTTAGTTGCCTATTTTGCTTTCGCAGCGGTGGTTTCTTCTGGGTTTCTGGAACAAACAAGTCTTCCCCTTTACTTACGCGACTGGAACTCCAGCGCATTACTCTTCCTCTTCCTTCCCCGGACTAGAGTGCCCACGTATACCGGTTAAAATCCAAAGGGTTACTAATTATACTAAATTTAGCAAAATGGTCACTGAAAACTTTAAAATATAACAATGTGATCTCTGAATTCAATTTCGGAGAATATTTGACGGTCAATCAATTGCTCCCAACACTTTGAATTGTTAATATAGATACAAGATTAGATCCTATATATATGTTGATGTCGAGGTTGTCGTCGACGCCAGATTTCTTGCTACAGACACTGAGAGAGGCCTAAAATCACTTTACATCGCGATCTTTGCTCGTCATATTGACTCCCACCACCTCCTGTAAATGGTCCACTTATTGATCTCGGTAGGGACACCCTCTGACGCTCAAAGTGGTGAGTTGACGGAAGAATGACACAAAAAATTAAGTGTAGGAGAGGGTGGTCTATGCGAGAGTGTAGGCCGACGCGTAGCCAAAAGATGTGTCGTTGCCTCAAGCAAACGTCCACCACGGGTCATGTGCCCTTGTGCCATGTTTAGGTGCTCACGCCACGTGGTAGGACACGCTTAAATGAGGGGCAACATAAGGGAGTAAGTAGGAGCGAAGGCAACTAGCCCAAACACCGCGGGTGGTGAACGCCTTGGACCCGAGAGCAAAGTGGATCCGAGGGCGTGGGCGATGCAGGCGGTGAGTGTCGAAGGAGGTGGGCTTCGTGGGTGGCAAGCGCCATTGGCTCGGGAGCAAAGTGGGTCCAAATCCATGGGCTGCGGGCGGTGAGCACCTTAGGTAGTCAGCATCGGGGGCACAGGGTCGTGGGTGGTGAGCGTCGTGGGCCGGGAGTGAAGTGGGCATAGGGTCGTGGGCGGCGAGCATCATGGGCCCAAGGGTCGCTGGTGGTGAGCGTCGTGGGCAGGGAGTGAAGTGGGCGGGGGTCGTGAACGTTGTGGGCCGTGATGTAGTAAAAATATTTTTAGATAGGGTCCATCAAAATATGCCCCTTAATAAAAAGTTTATTGGACTTGAAGAGTCACACTTGCACTAATGTGCATTAATTAATTAATTAATTGTTAATATCAAGGTTCAAGAAGGCGTTAGGCGATAAGCAAGCGTTGGCACTCAGTCTAACGCCCAGCTCGCAAAAGCGATGCCTACACGACACCTATGCATTTTAGCGAAATAGCAGGTTTTAGTAGAAATAACAATATTAAGGCGAAAGGGAGGGAAAAATCCAAAAGTACCACTATTTAAAAAAAAAATCCAAAAATACCACCCAACCCCAAAAAATTCCAAAAATACCACCCTTTTTCAAAAACCGCCACCCCACCCAGCGGTTTGGTCGAAAACCGCTTGTCGGGGCCGCGATTTTGGACCAAACCGCGGGCCTAGGGGGCGGTTATAAAAAAAAAAAAAAAATCGACCAAAACCGCTGGGTGGGGTGGCGATTTGGCCCAAAACCGCCACCCCAACCAGCGGTTTGGTCCAAAAGTTCGGTCGAAACTTCAAACGAACGTAACTTTGCACTCGGGTATCCGATCGTAGCGATTTTTTTTCATTTCGCATAAATTTTCATGATCTAAAACTTTTACTAGGATGAAATTTTCAAAACAGGAACTATTTGTGGATATACGGGACCTTGAGAATAACTTTACCTTTACTTTTCAGAAATCCATGTACATTTTGAAATTATGATTATATTAAAAGTTGTAGATCTTGAAAAGTTATGCGGAATAAAAAAAAGTTCATAACATTCGGAGTTTGGAGCACAAAGTTATGGCCGCCCAAAGTTTGACGAAAGGCGAGACCCGGCGGTTTGCGGCTTGCAAGATCTCAAAAAGTTTGCGGCCTCCATTTTTTGAATCCGAATAACTTTTTGAGATCTTGCAAGTCTCAAACAGTTGGGTTCCGTCTTCATCTCGAAAAAACGTCATTTGCCACCCCGAACGACCTTTTTTTTTATTTTGTCAAACTTTGGGCGGCCATAACTTTGTGCTCCAAAATCTGAATGTCATGAATTTTTTTTATTCCGCATAACTTTTCAATATCTACAACTTTTAATATAAACATAATTTCAAAATGTACATGGATTTCTGAAAAGTAAAGGTAAAGTTATTCTCAAGGTCCCGTATATCCACAATAGTTCCTGTTTTGAAAATTTCATCCTAGTAAAAGTTTTAGATCTTGAAAAGTTATGCGAAATGAAAAAAAAATCGCTACGATCGGATACCCGAGTGCAAAGTTACGTTCGTTTGAAATTTCGACCGAACTTTTGGACCAAACCGTTGATTGGGGTGGCGGTTTTGGGCCAAACCGCCACCCCACCCAGCGGTTTTGGTCGATTTTTTTTTTTTTTTTATAACCGCCCCCTAGGCCCGCGGTTTGGTCCAAAACCGCGCCCCCGACAAGCGGTTTTCGACCAAACCGCTGGGTGGGGTGGCGGTTTTTTAAAAAGGGTGGTATTTTTGGAATTTTTTGGGATTGGGTGGTATTTTTGGAATTTTTTTTTAAACAGTGGTACTTTTGGATTTTTCCCCGAAAGAGATGGTGCGAAATTGAGAATTTGTTACATTTCATGAGTTCTGAGTTTTTCTCTCATTGAGCTAGAATTACAATTCCAAAACAAGGAAGGAGTGAAGGATGTGTCGAATATGAGGTAGTTGAAGATGGCGTCATTTTGAGAAGATTAGCTACAATATTTTTTAATCCTTAGTCTGCTAGTGCAATTAAGCACCTCTGTCTAGGACCTTGGGAAGACATTTTATCATTGTCTAACGTCCATGCGACATATGCGGAATTACGCCTTTTTGAATCCTGGTTAATATTGGGGATTGGTAGGATTCAAACATATGCCATTTCTACCAAAAGCTCAATTTTCATGTCAAGTACCAATTAATTTCAAATACACGAGTTGTTGAGAGAGAAAAATTGGATTTTTTATCATTCATTTACTATCTTACACGCATGAGAGGCACATTTGAAAGCTCCAAGTACATGAAATGTGGTAATTTCTAATTGACCTTCAATGTTTTGTGGGAAGAAAATTGAGGATTCTGACTCCCTAAGTCCTTCCAATGAAAATTAAATGGTTTGAATCAAGGTTAAAGAAGGTGTTGGGCTAAAGGTGGGTGTTGAGATATTGTCTGACTCGTCTAGGCATTGCCTAAGCGTGATTATGCATTGGAAGCAAAAATAGACTTTTGTGTTAAATGATGAGTGAAGTAGTTGTTTTACATCACTTTAACTTTACTTCAAATGATTAATAACTTCTTTACCACTTAACAATAAGAAAAAATAGTTCAAAAGTTTATAGAATCATATGTCAATGGTTCACAATGTTCTTGAACTATTGAATAGACTGAGATGGTACCGGGTCCGCTATTCTTGCAGAACTGTGGGGCATCCATAGAGGGTTGGAGCTAGCTTGGAATAAGAACATCCAATGTTTGATTGTGGAAACTGACTCCAAGCTAGCCATTGACCTGATTAACAATAGACGGGATCCGGTACACCCTCATGCTACCCTTTTGAATATAATCCGTAGACAGATAGCTCAGAATTGGATAGTTCGTTTGGTGCATACGTATCGGGAAGGGAATAGAGTCGCAGACTGCCTCTCGAAGCACAGTCTCGTCTATCCCTTTGGTACATATGAACTACATGAACTTCCAATGGATCTAGAGAGACTCCTTCGTGAAGACATCATTGGTGTTAGCTTCCCTAGACAAGTCATTGTTGGCCTAGGGGATTAGTATAGTTGTCTGCCTATTATTTGGTTTTTAAGTTGCTCCCAGCTTACAGGATCTGTTTTGGGCGGAGTCCTCTGCTTGTAGATGGCCGCCCAGGCTTTTCCTTTTGATCCTCGGAGACTATTTTTCTCTGGCTTTCAGCCTCCTTCCAATCAAAAAAAATTTCACCTTTTTATATTGACTGTCTAGGTTTCACAACAAAAAAGGCTATAACGACCGGAAAAATGGCGAGAGGATGAAAACCGCTCATTAAATGCACCTTTCTAATTTGCACAAACTCATTTATGAGGGTAATTTATTTCCTCTCATTATAACATTAGTTTACCCTCGTTATTGCCAAAAGACCTTTAGCGATGACTAGAATCTCCTCATTGATATGCCCATAAAAGTTTTTGAAATCCGCCTAACATATTTCTATTTTGCATATCTGATTCACTTTCTATATCTAAGAAAAGAGAACCCAAATCTCTTATCTCTTTACCCTAAGAAACAGCCTCACCACCCACATACAACAGCGGCGAAGTTTCCATAGATCGCCGACGACCCACTTTCTCATTCACCGCCAACTTGAATCACCAATACCCGCAATCAATTTCGACAGCAATGACCGTTATGATGGAGAAGAAGAGGATGTTCAGTGCTTATTCTCCACCACCAGATTCATCGGGTTCTAGAGATTGAGGGGTGACCAGATTTGGGAGTTCTAGCTTCTTCCTCTCGCGATTGAAAATTGGCTTCATCATTTATTGTCATTCAATGTCAATTCAAGGTCCGACCAACCCGATGAAGGGAAGAGCATTCCTGGATCCTACAAGCAAAGACTCGTGAGCTGTTGACCATGGCACTCTTCGATGCTTAAGTTAGGAGAGAAATGATAATATGTGATTTGTTTAGTGAGAGAGGGAGGGAGTAGTTGAGTTCCCATCAATGCTCATGTGTGGAGTATTTATACTCAATTAGGTTGGGTAATGAGCATTAATGTTAGTCAGACGCCCTAAGCATGTCTTGTCTACTAAGCGACCGCCTACAACGGGTAATTAATGCTCTATCTTACTTATATCGAGATAGTCATTACCTCAGATCTTGTGGTTCCTTTCTCCTATTAGTACTTCATGTCAGGCGGTCGACTCCCATCACTTCATAGGTCAGACCACCTATGGATTCAAATGAGCGTTGCTTTCAGGCGTGTTAGGCAAGCCATACAAGGACCTCCTTACCCATTTGCATTGCCCCTGACCACCCTGGGCTTCTCTTTGGGCCTTGAGGCCCAGTACTGCTCAACATGTGGCCTAACAATTTGTAAACTCGATCGTCAACAATACTGGCTACCCCAATCTAGGACAGTACACTATAGATTGATGAAGTAGTATAGTGGTGATCGAAGTTGTATTCCAAGGGTCACGGTATCCTAGGCTACTTAGGCTCGGTTGTTATCTAGCTAACATGTTACTTAGTAGGTGGGCAGCTGCCGATTACTAAACTAGAGGTCGATAAAGGAGAAGAGGTACTCGGGGTGCCTCCCTCGCCCTAAACTTAGGTTCCTCATGATGTTCGAACTTTCGGAGCACAAAGTTATGACCGTCCAAAGTTTGGCGAAATCGGAAAAAAGCTCATTTGGGGTAGCAAACGATGTTTTTTCAGGACGAAGGCAAGAGCAGTATGCGGCTTGCAAGATCTCGAAAAGTTGTGCGGAATCAAAAAAAATTTCACTACGATCGGATACCCGAGCACAAAGATACTTTTGTTTGAAATTTTCACCTATATTAGAGTTGATCAGAAAATTTTTTGGACAAATCGTAGGGAGGGGCACCGATTTTGGACCAAACCGCCCCGACCCCATGTGGTCACCAAAACCCCATGTAATAATTACACAAGTTATTTATCTAATTATAAAAATAAAAATATGTTGGGTCCATTAGCGGAGCTATCTCGCTCGGCCGATTAATTCTTCTCGGCGGAGAGCCGGCCGATTTCCGGGAATTCTCCTCGGCGGTGGCTGTGCAGATTTTTTGGGCACCATTTCTTGTTCTACGAGAGAGAGAGAGAGAGTTATCCGACGATGTCTTTCCGACAACTTTTTTTTTTTTGCATCGGAGGAGACTTTCCTGCGACCTGAGACAGCAAATGAGAATTTTCCGACGCTAGTGCTGGATTTGTGATGTTTGTCAACCTACTTTGTGATGTTTATATCATTTTCGGTTTGTATTGTTTGTTATTTTTATATATTATGTTTGTAATGTTTATAATTTATATGACTATTTTGTATAGTTGTAATTTGTAATGTTTGTTTGTCTATTTTGTATAGTTTTATGCTATAATTTGTATACTTTGTATTAATTGGTTTGTAATAAAAGCTTTATCGATTTATATTTTAAATAGTGGTATTCTGTACGATTAGTATGCTTTGTATTGTTTGTCGGTTTATTTTGTAATGTTTGTAAGCTTTGTTATTTTGTAAGGTTTGTCGATTTCTTTTGTAATGTTTGTAAACTTTGTTATTTTTGTCCACTATGTTTGTAATGTTTGTTGGTCTAGTTTGTATTTTTTGTATAATTATATGTTTTGTATTGTTTGTAAATCCATTTGTATGTTTTGTCGCTCTAGTTTGTATTGTTCGTATGATTTGTGTTGTTTGTAAGGTCGGTTTGTATACTTCGTAATTTTCCATAATACCCAAACTACCACAGTCATTAATTAAAAGCCCTTCCCACTTTTTAACCGTCAGATTAGTATGCCCAGATCTAAGGGCCAGGAGGGGCTTAGTCAAGTGACTAAGCACCCCCTAGTCACCAGATCCCCCTCACAAACCGCCCGCACCCATGCGGTTTACAGCAAAAACCGCGCCTTTGGGTGGCGGTTTTTGGAAAATTGTGGTGCGCGGTTTTTGGAAAATTGTGGTATTTTTGAAAAATTTCGAAAATGAATGGTATTTTTGAAATAATTTTCCTTTTTAGTGATATTTCTGAAAAAATCCGTAAATTTTACCCCAACTTTTTTTCACGTATAAACTCATAGATTTATACTCCGTAAATTTCGGCAAAACCCGACCCGATGCATTGCTTTGCTATCCCTACTCCCTGCGTTTATGGTGGTGTCTCTTGGATTTGGTCTCTCTCGTCTCGCTGTTGTCTCTCCTCAATCTTCATCAAGGTTGTCAAACCGGTTTGTGCCAGTGTGCCGGTTTAGCAAGTGAAATGGTTCGACCGGTGGTACATACCGGTTTGTGCCGGTTCATGCCGGTTAATATTACAAATAATTTACAAATACTCATATTTAAACATGACATTTAACGTCAATACCTAAATATTTGTACTTGAATCCAACAAATAACATCAACATTTAACTTTTTAACACATAAAATAAATAATAAATTACTTTTTATCAATTAAATTCACGAAGATAAAATCATTTTACTTGGAGATTCGTATATCGATCATGCCGGTCATACCGGTGGTGTCATACCGGTTTTATGACCGGTACAGGTTGAACCAGGTTCAACCAGTGGCACGCCGGCCGGCGTGACAACACTGATCTTCATTGATTGCTACTTTTTCTCTTTCTGTCTCTCCTGAACTTTAAACATCGCCATTAAAATAGCGAGGAGAGAGAAAGAAACAAAGGACAGCAACAGCATACAGGGGAGAGGGAGAGAGAGAGAGAGCGGGGGAAGAGAAGAGAAGGAATGGAAGTGGCTATGGCTCTGTCACATCCCTGACTAATTAGTTCATTTCCACGTGCCCCACTACCTTCGCCGAAGATCATCCCCCTTCCCCCTCCTCCACCAGCGACCACCGTCCACGATTCTGACTTAGGGTTTCCCGCATCAGCCGCGTAAATTATCTCCTTTCCTTCTCCACCCACCCCGCCGACCACCTAGCTAATTTGGGCAGCTTTAGGTCTCTTTGATTGGCGGCATCACTAGCTTTTCATGATTTCTGAAGTCAAACTTATCGAGATGGAGAAGCAGCAGCAACAGCAACAGCAGCAGCAGGTGCGCAGGACGTGGATAGGGGAAGGAGAGCAGAGCCAGCGCCGCGGTGTCTTCGACAGCTTGTTGCGCGGGGTTGGAGCTGAGCACATGACCATCGATCAATGCGAGGCGATTCGGGAAATGGACGACTCACAGCTCGTCGGAGTCCCTGTACTCGTTGCTAAAGCCGATGTGCCTAGGGTACACGTTGAAGTCAGGAATGTGGCAGCTGTTCCTGAGATCAGTACGGTGAAAAGGAGGCGTGGTCGCCCTCCGCGGAATCAGGGCAAACCCGCGCCGGCCCCTCCTCTCAAGGCCATGGAGGAAGAGGATGTTTGTTTCATATGCTTCGATGGCGGCAGCTTAGTACTTTGCGATCGCAGGTCAGTCTCTTTTTTGCTTCTGAATTTCTGCTTCGCGGCTTCGAAGATCACGAATCTAGTTCATCTATATTAAATGCTAAGTGAATGCCTCTATGCAAAATTTTCCAAGCTGAGACTCTCCGGTAGGTTTAGGGTTTTTCTAAAGCATCAGTTAGCTTATCATTTAACTGTCCTTTTTTTCCCTTCTTCTTCTTCCTGTTGTTGCCTTGTCATGCGTAGGGGCTGCCCTAAAGCGTACCATCCAGCTTGTATCAAGAGGGACGAAGCATTTTTCCAATCGAAGTCCAAGTGGAACTGCGGTATAATATGCTTCCATTCACTATAATTTCTAACTTGAGCCGTTTTTACTACTATGTACCCGAGTGGTTAATCAGCTTTGCCCTAGATTCTATGCCCATATGTATGCGTGGCAACGCGTTAGTTCCTGACTTGAACTTAGTTTGACTGTGCATTAATCTGAATTGATTATGTGGATTATCTTTAACTACTTATGAATGACTATCATTAACTGCTTATGGATGATCCAGTATGTTGGATTTGATGCTTCCGTTCTTATCATGGTGCACATGTCATTCAATATCTTTTATCCTCATGGTCTCAATACATTTTTGTTGCTTCCCTGTACTCATGACTGGATCCTTAGAAGGCTGATAATTCTAGCAGGCTATCTTGCTCCTATCTCAATGATTATATTCTTTCCATTTTTACTCGCCGTTATTTCTTTGTGTTTAATAAGTCTTTATTCCACTTTTGTCTAACTATGGTATGTTTCAGGGTGGCATATTTGTAGCAGTTGTGAGAAGGCTTCTCATTATATGTGCTACACTTGTACATACTCTCTCTGCAAAGGGTGCACCAAAGGTGCCGATTACTTATGCGTGCGTGGAAATAAAGGATTTTGTGGAACGTGTAAGAAAACTATAATGCTGATTGAAAATGTACCGACGGAGAACAGTGAGCAGGTATGTAAACTGCTGCCTCTTAACTCGACCTTTGAACAGCCTTCTTGCATCAATGCTTTGGAAAGAGATAGAAGTTACCCATTGTTGTGACGAGGGATTAGTGTTTAAGAACTTTTTTGCACTATGGTTGTCCCTCATTTTCAAGGGTAGATCATTAAATCAAGTGACGATCCTCACTTTGCCAGTTAGTACCTGGTAGCAATATACACACAAGTACTCCATTTCCTTCCCCTTTGGCTGTAATGATCCTTTCAAGATTGGTTTTTTACTGTTCTATGCTATTCTGCAGGTTCAAGTGGATTTTGATGACAAATTGAGCTGGGAGTATCTTTTTAAGTTGTATTGGGTCTGCCTTAAAGAAAACTTATTGCTTACTGTAGATGAAATACTAAAGGCTAAAAATCCCTGGCAAGTTGACGAGCCACCTAAGACTAAAAGTACCTGGAAAGTTCCCGCTGCTGTTACGGATCCCATGGCAGAATCTTCTAGTGAAATTTATTATGGTGGTAATGAAAATGCCTATTCTTCTGGCAATAGTTATGGAAGCCTGGAGACAAACTACTCCAAGAGAAGAAAAATTGACGACGAGCCTGATATTATGAATGGGGAAAAGTCTGTCGGCATAATGGAAAATTTGAGCGTTGAGAAAGTTGCACCTTTGTCTGTCGGCACAACAGAATGGGCAACCAAGGAGCTTTTGGAGTTTGTTGCACATGTGAAAAATGGAGATACAACTTTCTTATCTCAAATTGATGTGGAGGCTCTTTTGTTAGACTACATCAAAAGCAACAATCTGCGTGATCCTCGCAGGAAATGCCAGATACTCTGTGATACAAGGCTTATAAACCTCTTTGGCAAAACACGTGTTGATCATATTGAGATGCTGAAGCTTCTTGAATGCCACTTCCTTGTGAAAGAAAACCCCCAGCGTGTTGAATCTCAAGTCACGGTGGAATTAGCTGCTGCTGTGGGCAAGGCTAGCTGTGCCAAAATCTCTGATGTCCCGGTGGTTAGCAATGATAGAAGGCGTAAGACACGCAAAAGGATGGATGAGAATGAAACCCACACCAACCCCAATGCAGATGAATTTGCAGCAATTGATGTTCATAATATTAATCTATTATACTTGAAGCGTAGTTTGATGGAAAATCTTATGAATGATGCTGATAAGTTCCATCAGAAAGTGGTTGGGTCATTTGTCCGTATTCGGGTTCCTTTTGGCGACCAGCAGCAAGATATGCATCGACTTGTTCAAGTCGTAGGTATGACTTGAAGTTACCTGTTTTCCGAACTAGCTTTAGTAATAATACTATGATTTGAAGGATACGTTTTTTTTGGCGGAAAAGATTTGGAGAGATCAATGGTTCTCACTTTCAGGTACTGGGAAGGCAGCTCAGTCATATAAGCTTGGCTCAAGGACAACTGATATCTTGCTTGAAATATCAAATTTAGACAAGAAGGAAGTTGTGTCGATTGATGGGATATCAGACCAAGACTTCTCAGAGGTGATTTGAGAAACCAATAAATAGAGCTTATTAAGTTGTTGTATTTCCTTAAGTTATTTCGTGATGCTTGGCTCTTGAGTTTGCGACTTCCAGCCTTAGGGTCCAGTAATGTTGTTTTCATGTTCATTATTTGTACATTATCTTTGTTTTCACTTTCTTAAAGGCTCCAATGTGTTGGCATGCGATTACTTTCTGCTACTGACCTAATTGATTGTTTTTTGGGGAGAGTGCTTGTTCGGATCCTATTGTCAATAGTTCCACTATTACTGAGTTCTATTAGTTTTGCATGAATTTCAAGCCCTTTAAACCAAGAATTTCTGTATAAAATTCTGCTATGATGCTATCTTCATGTTGGGAAATGCATGTTATCTTGATGACTCTGACAGTCTGACCTGTACACGTATTTGCCGGTTACGTTTTTAGATCATGCTAGTATTTAAATAGATGCGGTTTCCCCTAGTGAGATGCATTCCGTCATTAAAATCTTAAAGTCTTTACCTCTAGTTCGATTTTTCCTTGTAATAACCACTCCTGGTTTCTGTAGTTAACATTTATTTATATTGTTGAGTAATTGATTGAAGATGTAAGATGCTTGCCATTTTGGGTTACTATTTGGACTGATGTATACACATTATGTGATTGTGAATTGTAAATGATATTTAGATCCCTGAATAGTTCCTTTTCTTCTGAATTTGACATGCCATGTCTCGTTATGTTTTCAGGAAGAATGCAGACGACTAAGGCTCAGTGTAGAATCTGGCCTCATAAAGTTTATGAAGGTGGTAAGTGCAGTGCCTTGTGTGTGTTTATTTATGCATTCACTTAAAAAGCAATCTGCACCATTCTCCATCATACATTTCTACACTTGGTTGTAGGGTGAGGCACAGGAGAAAGCAACGGTACTTCATTCCGTCAAAGTTAGTGATGTATGTCGGCATAATCATCCTCATTACTTAATTTGTTTTATTTTCAATCTTGTGGAACATTTTTACATGCTTCTTTTACTTGTCAATCTCTTCTGCAGTCGCTGGCAGCAGAAATATCGCGGCTTAATCATCTTCGGGATCAAGCTAGTGAAAAAAGACAGCGGAAGAAATATCCTAAACACAGTTTTATTGCATAGCACTACTTTTCGATTCAACTCATTGCATGTATGGCTTTTGTCATTTTAGTTGCTACGTATGGTTCCTTTGGTTTAGTCACCTCTGCTACTTTCCTCATCTGTTAACGTACACTAATAACTGAAAAAAATGAGTTTCAGTGATTTTGGTTGCTATGATAGAAAAAGGAAAAAAAGTTAGATCCGGAAAGTGTGTTTGTTTTAGTTTTTATTTTCTCTTACTATCTTTTTTTTTACCAAAATGGGCACTCTGATATTTAAGTGCAGTATTTGAGCTTTCCTTGACTAGGTCCACTCTCAGGGAATTTGTGGAGAAATTGGACATTCTGCAGTCAGTTGAGGAACGCCAGCGTAGGTTGCTTGAGGCTCCTATCGTGCATTCGGATCCGAATATAGTTTCCCACAAGTCTATCGAAGAGTTGAGTAAATATCCCACCTCAGCAAACCAGATGGGTTTCATATCTTCTAGCCATGAACAAAATAGTCAACCAGTGGCAGCTCCTCAACCAACATCTGCAGTTTTCCCGCCAGGGATACCACTCCCTCGTCTAATTAACGAGGATGAGCTAGAGAGACTTTGGCATTATCGTGATCCATTTGGAACAGTTCAAGGACCTTTCCCTATGATGCAACTTCAGAAATGGAGCACAAGTGGGCTTTTCCCCCTAGATCTAAGAGTTTGGAGGGTGACTGAGAATGAGCAAGACTCTGTTCTTTTAACTGATGCTTTACTTAGGCTGGTGCTCCAAAAAGAGCCACCCAAGCCTGCCAACAACAATTGTATTATACTGCCTCAGGAAGTAACAAGAGCTGATTGTGATGATGATACAGATAAGAAGTTGAGCAGTGGATCAAGTCAGAATACTGGGGCAACTCAGATGGAGGATAAGAATGATGAAGTTGATGAAAGTGGCAAGTCTGAGAAAAATGATTCGATTGGCAAGTCTGAGAAAAATTATTCAAGTGGCCGAAGCAGTAATGATGGTGATGATGAAGTTGCAAAGAGTAAGGAGTTGCCTTCTAATTCATCCAGGTTGACCATGTTAGTGGATCTTGTCTTTGGCAATAATGAACTAACTCAAGGCGCCGAGAAGTCCTCAGAGTCGACCAAGAAGGATGAGAAGTCTTGGGTCGATCAGCAGTCTGAGATATGTGGTTCGGTTGCTTTACCTTCTTCCTCTGCTGAAATTCATATTAATGTCTCGCCCCCCCACGCGAAACAAGTTGATGATTTGACCAAGAATGATGCAAAGTCTTGGGTTGATGAGCAGTCCAAGATTTGTGGTTCAGTTGCTTTACCTTCTTCTGCTAGAGTTTATAATGATGCTCCAGCCCCCCATGTGGGACAAGATGAAGAGGAAAACAGAAGTTCCAGCGTGAATGATGTGAATGAAAGTAGCCAAGATCCTAAGACTCCAAAGGAAGAACAACAAGCCATTGTCGAAGAAATTGATAATAAGAGAGGCACCAACAACAGTGAAGGTGGTTGTTCTCGCCAATCTTCTTGTCAGAGTTGGCAGCAGCCTCAGCACATCTCGATTGGATGGGATCTCAACTCTACTTTTCCTGCTATTTCTAATTCAACGGGAACAGTAAAGCTTGAACACGAAATCATTTTCTCCGATCTTCAAAGTCCGTTGCCAAAGCAGCAGCAAGGCGATAATGGGGACTTGAAAGGTGGTGAAGAAAGAAAACACACTGCCACTGTCTCTTGTGATGTGCCTATCATTGATGCAGGTCCTAGCTGGAGCACTACTTCGAGTTTAGTTGGTGGGACACGGCTTCCTAGTGTGGCTGCTGAATGGACGATGGGCTATTCTTCCTCTGCTATGGCCAAACCTTCTGTCGAGGACTGGGGCTCCAATCTTGTGCCTGAACCCAATGAATTCTCCTTAGTTGATGAATCTGTTTCAGACCTTTTAGCTGAAGTAGAGGCCATGGAGTCTCTCGGTGGATTGCCATCCCCTACATCAAAACTAAGTTGTGTGGATTTGATGCCAGTCTCCGATAATGATTGCTTTAGTCCTGTGGAAGATTTTACCCCGGCTGCAGCTCCGGATCCTGGAAGTAGTGGTGCACTGAGCTCCTCTGCTGGGGGGAATATAATGCAAATGCCGTCTCGGTTATCCTTATTAGCGGAGGAACAACAACTTGGGTTATCGATTATGTCTTCTCCTCAGCCAATAGTACATCATCAGCATTGTCATGAAGAGGAATCACAGAGTAGGATGACAACTCATCAAAAGCCTCCTCCTCAGTTGACAACAGCAACTGACCACAAACCACCAGTTCACGACGTATCTCTCATGCTTTCGCTTCCCCCGGCAACAAGTGAGTTGCCCCCACTTGGTGTGTCCTCTCCTCCCCTGAGACAACCCGACCATTCATCGGCTTTGGGCCCAATAATTGGCTTGTCACAGACCGATGCGCAGAAAAGGCCATCCAGTGGTCATTTGAGCAGCAGCAGCAGCAAGGTGGAGAGACGGTGGGAAGGAAGTTCAGAAACCAACCAGGTTCAGCAGTTGAGTTCTAAACAGACGAAGCCGGTCTTAGACATCAAGCTGCCGCCTGCCTCAACCACGAGTTGTCAAGTGGAAGCCAGGTCAGAGACCATCCATTGTCCTGCACCTGCTGGAGTAGACTTGAGATTGGGGAACTCCAGGGGGCGATCGATTCTGGGACTGGCGCCAGGTGTTGCATCTCATAGTTATAATCCAAGCAGTCATTCTAACAGCCCGGTTCAGAAACATGGTGGGGTCACGTCACCAACATCCGCAGGGCATTCTACAGCTTCCACAGGGAATCCTCCTCCCAGTTTGTTGGGAAGTCAGCCGAAGGACAGACATTCCAGTGGGTCGAGAGATCACCGAAACAGTCATCGTCACCACAGCAGTAGAGATTCAGGTGGCCATGGTGTTCGGGATAGGTCGACGTGGAACGGAGGCAACAGCAGGCAGGGTTCCCATGGAGGAGGAGGGTCTTTCAGATCGCCGCCCAAAGCGGGGCGAGTACTGTGTAGATTTATTGGAAGTGGGAAATGCAAGAAGGGGGCAGCTTGTAGTTTTTGGCACCCTTGAATTCGATATTTAGACATTTTAACTTAGGTCAAGAGGGGAGATCAGAAAGAAGAAAAATTGTGTGCATTATTTTCTTTTGTAGAATTCGTGATTTTTGTATGGGAAGCCTCTCCATCTCCACCCATGCGGTTGTACTAATGTGTAACTTTGTACAAGTATTAAAGCTGCAAATGAGTTTCCTTTTATTCGTACCATTCAACTGCCTAGCTTTCCCCAAATTACAATTTGATGATAAAGCTTGCCTATGGGGGTAACTGTTAAGCTTGTAACTCGAGACTTTTTGTGGTACTTCTACTTTGAATTTCACGCTCTTAACTTGATAAGTGGTGCTATATTGTCTAATCTGTATACCCCAAAATGTTAGATAAGGGAAGATTTGCTCGGCATTTGGAAGTGGATGTTAGATTTGCTAGAATTGATGGCTTCTGCTTTAGATTTCACTGTACAATTCCTTTTAATGGATGCGAATCACTCGGGCTGAAAATTGTCCCGACCCGTCCTTGACCCTGTCGGATCGGCTCTTGAAGGGTTAAGATGTATAGCTGACTCGTTTCGTCTTCTTTTCCTTCTTTACCCTATCTGACCCTCAAGGATTGAGACAGGTCGGGTCAGTGGGTCGACTAATCGACTCTAATCAACACACTACTTTATTACAAATTACGTTCTGGTACCCAAAATTATTTTTTCAACAATTTAGTACCTAATATTTTTTTTGAAAATAAGTCCATAAATTTTGATGATAAAATTACATTCTGGTATCCAAAATTTTTTATTTTTACAATTACCTAAACTTTTTAAACTTTACAAAAAGGTCCAATATGGCATGAGATATTATATTTGTTGTTGCTAAGGGTCATAGGGTCAAAAAGGTCCAATGCCATCCAATGTGGCATGAGATATTTGTTGTTGCTAAGGGTCAAATGGTCAAAAAATGACTCGTCACTAAGTTGTCACTACCCATCCCGACCCTTACAGGATCAACAAATAACCCGTCCCTAATTTGACCCTATAGACAAACTGACCCGTCTCGACCCTCAGGGACGGGTCGGGACGGGCCAGTGGTTCTTCCGGGTCAAGCGTACGAATCACACTTTAGCTTCCATTCATAAATCATAACAATTAGGATTCGGAAATCACTTAATAATCATAAATAGTCTAATAATAACGCATAAAATCTAAAAGAAGAATATAAAGTAAAAAGACACATTTAACAATGCTATAACATTTACCCATGTTGGGACGCACAACCTAAACTCTAAATAGCTAAAAATGTGTTAAGTACGACATATACTATGTAAAATATGAGTGCACAGAATTTATATAAGTTAATAAATATATGCAATTTATGTTTAAAATAGAACAACTCATAATATCTTAACAATAAGTTCATAAATATAGAAAACTAAGAAAACAGAAAACTAAAAAACCCAGAGATTTGAAATCATTCTTTTCAAGGCATCATCAAGTGACCTCTGATCTTCCCTCAAAGCCACCATTGTTGATCTCTCCCTCGGATCCTCCACCTCTCTTTCCTCCGGTATTACCCTTACAAGCAAAAAGATCCCCAGTAAAATAGTCAGAACACGCAAAAGATTCCCCTCCATCTCGATATGCCCTCTACCCTCTGCTCCCATCGTCTCATCTTTTCATCTCCTTCTCAACTCCATCAAAACCAGCCGCTGCCGCCGGTCAGTCCTCGTCACCGCTGCCAAGCTCCCAACTCTCTCTTCCCCTATCGAACTCCCCTCCCATGTCTTCACTCCCAGAATTTCAGCCATCGCCTACCTCTATTCCAACCCAAACACTACTCACCATTCTCCTCCAGTTGCCTAGCCCAGCCGTCGAACCCGACATGAAGGATAAAGAAGGATTCGACGCCCGGTATCCGAGAGGAGGAAAGAGACTCATCGTTGGCGCTGGTGAACTCCGACGCCGCTGCTTCTCTTCCCGTTTCCGAGCTGTCTTGCCCGTGAATCGAACCATCACACTCGCAGCCGCCGCCTTCTGAAAATCCATGGTCATCGCGGAGCCCATCAAATCCCTAAATGAATCCCCATCCAAAATCTGGGTTTCTAAAAATGTTGGTGATCTGGGTTGGGGGGGGGGGTAAGAATCTGGCGACGGAGAGGAGATTTGGGAGGACAAAGTAGTGTCGCCGGGGGTGAGTGGTGCAAGGTGGAGAGAGTGGAAGGAGAGGGTGAAGAGCTTCGGCAAGAATCCAACCGTGATAGAAGAATCGAGAGAGTTTGAAGAATAGAGAGTTTCTGCTAGGGAAGGGATGGGGAAGAACATATAATCGGATTTCGAAATCAATGTTGTTCCGCTTGGGTGAGAAATCAATTCAGTGCTACTATGTTGACAACCCAACTGAGTGAAGTGGTAACTTGGAAGAGGAATGAGTTGAAGATGAGAAGAAGGAAGAGGCTTCTTAAAATGGAGAAATGAGAGAATGACAATTATCATTGTTTAGGTCTAATGCTCAATTGTTTAATTTGTCTAATACTCTATTTTGCATTTACAAAATTCTAGACAAATTTGAATTTGTCTAGTGATTTGATGTTGTGATTTTGTCTAGTGGTTCTGGCATCAAATTCATCATATATTTGTATGTAGATAGCGTGCTTATGTTTGAGACCAATCAAAGATAAGTGCTTCACTAAAAATTATTGTCATCTAAAATCTTCATGTAGTACATGGGGGAGGCAAACTTGATTATGAATATTAAATCAAGTGAAACAACAAAGAAGTTGCATTGTCTCAATCTCACTACATTTAGAAGGTGCTTGCTAAATTCCATAGTGGAAATTGTAGTGAGCTAAAGTCCCCAATAAATCCAAGTTGGAACCTATGTTTAATACTGGTGATGCTGCTATAGTATGCACTAATGTAATAATCCTATGTATGTCTAGAGTCATATTTCACTGGTCTTTTTTATGGTATCTACTTCAAACTAACACTTGTATTTGAGATGGTAATGCAAGGAAAGTAAATTCGATGGTTGATTCACTTTTCGAAAAGAATATTTTCACACTCCATAACGCCTTGCGTACCGGGAATTTTCTCCCAGAGTATAAAACCAACACTACTTTAGTTTCAAGACTTAAAACCACTAGAACACATGCCTCATATTTATAGTGATATAAACACTACACTGAAGCATTTCTTTGCTTCGGGACTAAACTGCAGATCCAAAGCGTTGCCATCATCAACATATAACCAACATAAATGAAGCATTGCATGAAATGTATCCATGCATTGTAGTACATCTATCCAATGGGGCAAATGATAACACTTAAATAGATTTGTTATTATCTTCTCTGCAGTACTAGGTACTTTCATGCCATTTTGAGAACTAAAAAGACATTTGAACATTCGATGTACCTATATTGCTTTCTTGCATTGGTTTGTGATTTATTAGGTGGCATCATGACTTTTGAAGGATTATGACAAAGATTAAGGACTCAGGTGTAGCAAAAGAGGCAAAGTCCTAGATCGCGTGCAAGGGAAAGAAGAACACTGATCGAGAAGTGACCAGGTCGCAATCATATCGCAGCCTACACACAAGATCACAAATGTGATCACACAGAGGGAGCATACATAGATTCATAGAAGGAATCGCAGGAGGATTCACACCCCTTCAGCTTGAGACCTTGTAACAACCGGACTGCCAGCTGGCTTGATGACGTAGTGAGGGAGCTGATGTATAAATAGAGGGAGAGAGTGTAGAAGAAGTCATTCATTCAACTACCAACTGTCTGTATTGGCTACTTTACCAATTAGATAGCCATAGCAATAAAACATATCTTCTCTTCGCCTCGTCATTTCTCTTTCTTTCCCAAATTCCCCAAATTCGCCGGAGATCACCATTGACGGACCTTACAAGTGGTATCAGAAGACTTCTCTCTGGCAATGGCGACACACACTTCTCGGATTGTGGATTTAGAGACGCAAATGGGCGAGGTTCGTGTACAGATCAATACTAATCACCAGGATCTGAAAGATGCTATCGCGGCGTTGGCGGCTTCGACGAAGGACACCATAGATGCGTTGGCGGTTTCTATCGCTCGACGGGAGAAGTCGCCGGTTCGTTCGCCGCCGCGTGCTGAAGCTGGTCCGTTTGCAGAGCCTCACTTCTTTCAGCAAAATCGCCGGTCGACGCTTCTGGATCATTATCCTCGCCTTGAATTCACTCACTTTTCCGGCACCAATCCTCATGCTTGGGTAAGTCGGTGCGTCAAACTGTTTCACCTGTACTCAATTCCCGAAGATCAGAAAGTCGACCTCGTCTCCTACTATCTGGAAGGCCGAGCTTACACCTGGTTCGAGGGATGGTCCTATGGCCGTTTTCCGTTGATTTGGGGCCATTTCGTCGACGAGCTCTTCCACCGATTTGACAAGCAGGAGCAAACGAATGTGGTGGCGTCTTTCAATCATCTTCGTTAGACTGGCTCGGTTTCTCGTTATCAAGAAGAGTTTGAGGAATTGCGTTCTCGGATGCTTCGCCTCAATCCTGCTCTCAACGAGCATTACTTCATTCTCAGTTTCTTGGGCGGACTGGATGAGGAGATTCAACCACGAGTGCAGGTTCTCAATCCTCCTACCCTGGCTTGTGCCTTCTACCAAGCTCGTCTGGAGGAAGCTGCCATTGAAGCACGCAAGCGGAAGAGTCGTGCTTCTTCTTCCAATCGTTGGGGGGGATCTTCGTCGTCGTCTGTCCAATCTAAGGCTGCTCCTATCACTCCATCGACTCACATCACGGAACGTCCTCCGGTGGCGAGGGGTCAAGGTCTCTGTTACCGATGCGGAGACAAGTACTTTCATGGCCACATCTGTGAGAAGAAGAAACAACTGCAAGTGATGCAAGGGGATGATTCGGTGCTGCCTAGTGAATCTGACGATCCTGAGGAGGAGTTTCAAGACGCTGAATTAGAGGTCTCCTTGCAGACCATGGGGTCGGGTTTTGCTGGGAACTCGTTGCTCATTCCCGCTACTGCTGGCACCAAAGAGGTAATTGTTCTTATTGACACAGGAAGCTCTCACACGTTTCTGAATTCCCTTAGAGCAGAAGAACTGAACTGTGTGACTGAGAACATTGCCCCTATGCGCGTCAAGGTAGCTAGTGGTCATACTCTCCTTAGTAGTGCTGTTTGTAGGGGATTTCGTTGGCAAATGTAGGGGCAGGACTTTGGGTTTGATGTTCGAACCCTGGATTTACCTTCTCACGATCTGGTTTTGGGATGGGATTGGTTGGAGACGATTAGTCCATTCCAAATGGACCTCAAGAAGAGGCAGTTGTCTTTTGAGTGGAAAGGGGGGATGATGTGTTTGCAGGGTCTTTCGAAAGATGGGCAGTGTAAATTGTTGAGTGGCCGCCAGTTTCAACAGCTATTGAAAGATCCCTCATCTCAATTAGCTGGTGCTGTTTTTGCTATTGAAGCCTCTCCTCCAGATCTTATCCCTACTCCTCCATTCTTGCAGCCTCTCTTAGACTCATACTCTGATGTTTTTGCAACCCCATCCACTTTACCACCCTCACGATCGTTTGATCATACCATTCCTCTGTTGCCTTCCACTAAACCCATCAACATTCGCCCTTACCGCTTTCCCCATCACCAGAAGGCTGTTGCCGAGAAATTAGTGGCTGAGATGTTGCAATCAGAGTTCATTCAGCCCAGTCATAGCCCATATGCCTCGCCGGTGCTGTTGATTGGCAAGAAAGATGGCAGTTGGCGTTTTTGTGTGGACTACAGGGAGTTAAACGCCGCTACCATTAAGGATAAGTTTCCAATTCCCCACATTGATGACTTATTGGATGAGCTGAATGGGTCGGTCATATTTTCGAAGTTGGACTTAAGAGCAGGGTACCATCAGATAAGAATGCACCTTGATGATCAGTTTAAGACTGCATTTAGGACTCACCGGGGTCATTATGAGTTTCGTGTTATGCCATTTGGCCTCACGAATGCTCCGGCTACTTTTCAAGTGCTGATGAATCACGTTTTTGGCAAATATTTGAGGAAGTTCATCCTCGTCTTCTTTGACGATATTCTGGTTTACAGCAGATCTGAGGAAGAGCATGAACAACACTTGGCTACTGCTTTACAGCTATTGAGAGACCATCAGCTGTATGCTAAGGCGTCTAAATGCGCTTTTGGACAGCCCAGGGTGGAGTATCTTGGTCATATAATCAGTCGAGAAGGGGTAGCAACAGATCCAAAGAAGGTTTCAGCAATGACTAATTGGCCTCGTCCCTTGAATATTAAACAGCTGCGTGGTTTCCTGGGTTTAACAGGCTACTACAGGAAGTTTATTCGCGACTATGGTACTTTGAGCAGACCGTTGACTGCTCTTTTGAAGAAGAATGGGTTCACATGGGGACCGGATGCTGAGTCTGCTTTTGAGGTTCTTAAAAGGGTTATGAGTGAAGCACCAGTGCTGGCTTTACCCGATTTCACCCTCCCTTTCACGTTGGAAACTGATGCAAGTGGAACAGGTGTGGGAGCTGTATTGACTCAAGGGGGTCGCCCTTTGGCATTTTTTAGCAAGGCCCTAGGGGTTCGTAATCAAGGCTTAAGCACTTACGAGAAGGAATATCTGGCTGTTCTCTTAGCAGTTGATCATTGGAGGCACTACTTGGAGGGTCGTTCTTTTACTATAGTCACAGATCATGAGAGCCTTAAGTTTTTGTTGGGGCAAAAAGTTCACACTGTTATTCGAAAGAAGGGTCTTGTCAAACTTATGGGGCTGGATTTTCAAATTAAGTATCGTAAAGGGAAGTTTAATGGGGCTGCCGACGCCTTGTCAAGGGTTTTTGAGGAAGTGGAGCAGGTGGAAGAAGGGGATTGCAACGCCATCACTACTGTTTTACCCGAATGGCTGGCTGAGATCGAGGAAACTTATGTTGATGATCCTGACATAGCAGTCTGGATTACTGCTGCTGTTGTTACTTCCCAAGGGCCTTCCCTCTGGTCGTTTTCATCGGGTGTGTTGCGTTATAAAGGGGCTGTAGTAGTGGGCAGGACAGGGGGAATGCGTTCCAAGCTATTACATCTGTTTCATTCTTCACCGGTTGGGGGACACTCGGGTGCACAGGTCACGTATCAGCGTCTTCGAGCTCATTTTTACTGGAGGGGAATGAAATCAGAGGTGGCAACTTGGGTTTCTCGCTGTGATGTGTGCTAACACTGCAAATCAGAGACTGTCGCTTCACCCGGGCTGCTCCAACCCCTTCCTGTGCCAACACAAGCTTGGCGAGATATGAGCATGGATTTTATAGAGGGCTTGCCTCCTTCAAAGGGTAAGCAGGTTCTTCTAGTCGTTGTGGATCGTTTCACAAAGATTGCTCATTTTTTCAGTCTCAAGCATCCATACTCAGCTGCTGACGTGGCTCAGATTTTCTTCGATGGTGTCTTTAAGTACCATGGGATGCCTTCGACCATCGTTTGCGACCGAGATGCCACCTTTACCAGCCAATTCTGGACTGAATTCTTCAGATTGCAGAGCACTGACATCCACTACTCGACTGCATACCACCCGCAAACAGATGGGCAAACTGAGCGGGTGAACAGGTGCCTCGAGGACTATCTTCGTTGCATGACTTTTCACAGACCGCATGATTGGGCGGATTGGTTGTCGTTGGCTGAGTGGAGTTACAACACTCACTACCACCTTAGCCTGCAAATGACTCCCTTCGAAGCCCTCTATGGGTTTCCCCCTTCCCATTTCGGCTTGACACCATCTTCGGGTACATCTGTCGAGGCTGTGGAAGACAGAGTCAGGAATCAGCAGCAGCTCGTCAAGTTTCTGACCGAAAGTATCACGGTTGCTCAGAATCGGCAGAAGCAGTATGCTGATCGCCGGAGGTCTGAAAGGGTTCTGCAGGTCAAGGATTGGGTGTATTTACGCCTGCAGCCATATCGACAAGGTTCGGTTGTGGGCAGACATGGAAACAAGCTGGGTGCTAAATACTTCGGGCCATATCAGATTGTTGCGCGAATTGGAGCTGTTGCTTACAAGCTGGCTTTGCCATCCCATTCTAAGATACACCCTGTTTTCCATGTATCGCAATTGAAGCGGTGTAGATCCACGGTGCCACCAGCTGCTGAGCATCTTCCCGAGCAGGACGATTTGGGTTCTTTGAAGTTGGAGCCATACAGGATTTTAGCGCGCCGATTCATGAATCAGAGCAATAGAGCAGTCACTCAAGTGCTGGTTCAGTGGGTACACCAGGCTCCAGAAGATGCGACATGGGAGGAGTTGGCTTCTTTCAAACTTTGGTTTCCCGTCTTTCCAGCTTGAGGACAAGCTGTTGCTGAAGGGAGAGAGATTTGTAACAACCGGACTGCCAGCTGGCTTGATGACGTAGTGAGGGAGCTGATGTATAAATAGAGGGAGAGAGTGTAGAAGAAGTCATTCATTCAACTACCAACTGTCTGTATTAGCTACTTTACCAATTAGATAGCCATAGCAATAAAACATATCTTCTCTTCGCCTCGTCATTTCTCTTTCTTTCCCAAATTCCCCAAATTCGCCGGAGATCACCATTGACGGACCTTACAGACCTCGAGGGAAATCGTGACGACGACTTTCAAATCGCGACCGTGAACTTGAGCCCGCGATTTTCACTTTAGAGTAGCCAAAGGCGGCTTCGTATGGAGATTATGTTCCATTACCCAAGATTGCGGCCACGAACTCCCCAGAGTTGCCCGCGGTCTTCTCTGTGTTTCTGGAAATCTATAAATAAGAGGCATCTCAATTGCTGAAGGGACTCTTGGAAACTAAAAAATCCTAGTAAGAGAGAGAAATGGGTTGTCAAGTGAAGAAGAGAAGAAATGAAGCCTTAAGGAAGATTTCCTAACCAATTGGAGGTTTGTGATCATGGTTTTCTTCTATCTTTTTTTTTTGTTCTCCTCCCCCTTCATGGAGTAGTCATAGAGGTACTTGGGAGTTAGTCCCAAATCCTATCTTGGGTTTAATATGTAATTGATTGGTATTTAGTAATCTATGAGACATTTATGTTCAATTAGAGTTGTTATTGCTTCTATTCATGATTTGGATGCATGAGATTGTATATTACATGTGTTTGCCCTAGGTCAATTCATGTGCGTATATTTTTTGCATGTGTTCTTCCATGATTAGATGATTGAGGGGCTTAGTAAAGGTAGAGGTGACCATCCTCTTTGCTAGGTGCTCAGCTAATTGACGTTTATTGGGTTAGTACGTAACCATCGACTTACCTAATTTGTGTGTGGACAGGTAGAACTCGTTTAGAGGAGGTAGAGTTTACCTCTAATCAGCAAAATCGGCTGAGGTGATAGCGGGCCGGTGAATGTAGCTAGAAGGAAAATCGGGAGACATGAACATTGCACCAATCCCCATATTAGTGACCTTTGCACAACAAATGACATTGATATATCTACCGTATGACTGCATGTCAGACTTGTTAGTTAGTGTGAGAGAGGTTTGTCCCGAATATCATCGCTTTCTCATAGTTTCTAATTTTCTAGTGTCGAACAAACAGTCTAGATATTTGATTAGATAACAACCGACCTCTCAAGAGTAAGCTATATGCTATTATAGTCCGTGAAATACGACCTTGAGGGTCACCATTTTACTACTTCACCGACTTCGAGTATACTTGTTCTAAATCAGAGTAGATAGAGTCTAGACAACTGAGATGATTTTAGAATTGACGAATAAGCAAACTTTGCATGGAATGGTGGCCTTCAAATTCAAAAGGGGTATTGGTTCATGCAACCGTTTCAACTAACTAATGTCTAATTATATAGTGACATTCTGGTCTGCAAATCAAACTGCCAAGTGAAAAGGACCTTGCAGCCGTGTTCTACGTCTACATTTGATTTTCGGTTTGTGCCATTCATATACAACATCCAAAGAGAAGGGGGCTTTCATTTCAGTGCTTTTCTTCTATCATTATCTTTCAGTAACCTTTCACGTTCATATATACAAACATACGATCTTGCGAAGCAACAAGCTCCGACAAGAGAACGGACTTGCTTCCTCTCTGTCACCGCTGCCCTACTGTCCTTTCTCTTCAGGTCCTAACCGATACCTGTCATTTGGAGGGGCGGCTGCGTCTACCGGGACTCAAGGGGCTGTTCCTGAAAACTGGGAAATAAGTGTCCATTTCCAAGCGTTCCAAGATATCCTGTGTAATCCAGAGATACGACGAGTGGCCTTCAATGTACTCAGTAACATCAACCTGCGGGCGTTTCAGTTTTCAACGAATAGACTGATAAAGATTGATTGGCATCAATAGGAGGAAAGAAGGAAGACAAGGGGGAAAGGTGTATTTCTTACATTCTCAATTCCTGGGACGTCTACTGGTTGAATCCCGGCCAAGCCTTGTGTAAGCAAACTGTCAAGGAAAGGCAAGTGCTTAGCTTATAGAGAATACTGATGCATACATCCAATTGCATGCTTGGTATTTGAACGCAGGCAAAATTTCCTGCCTTTTCTTTTTTCAAAGGCATTCCCAAAGGAACACCGCTAGATACGAACCGAAAATCCTTTTTAGGCAACCATAATAATACAAATAAGATTGAATGGACGATGGGCGACAAAAAATCGAACCATCGATAAGAGAGCTTTTGTTGCCGCGATATGGGCAGCTCTATGATACCTGTACTATATCGGCAAAACTTTTCTGCTATATTTAAGAAGAAATTTCAAGATTGCTGAAGACTGTCCATACCTTGCCCGGAAAGCAATTCCAAGCATCCAATCATTTGTTGAGTAAGCATTCACAAACCTTCCAGCTACCATCTACAAACAAAAAAAAAAAAAACAGTGGATGAAGCAGAGACATCTTAAGTTGAAGATGATGCTAACAGATGTGGCACACGCTGAGTCGCTTACAGAAACAGGAACATGTTTCTTCTAACTCCATACTCTAGAATTTTTATCTCAACTCTTTTGTCGGGAATGATTCCCAGAACTATGGATATGAATTGTATATTTAATAATAAGAACTAATCAGATATGTTTGCTATGTTTTGGGGGGAATGTCAGAAAAGGTGAAAGAAGATAGTGAAAAGTTAAAATAACAATAATAAAAAACTTAATGGAAACCACAAATTTTAGCTATATGCCCAATTGGAATTTCAATTTTGAACATAAAAAGTGTAGGTGAAATTGAATCGTCTTCCCAGTTTTAGTTTATACAAACGGTTGTAAAACAATAATCACCTTTCTTGCAGCTTCCCAGTTCTCGTCTTTGATGGCAATAGGTGCTCCAAGAAGAACAACTCTCTCTACTACTTCAGCTGTAAATGTTTTGATCAGTGAGTAATGGGGTAATTAGTGTAAAGGATCCATCCAGAGTGATGGGTGTAATTATACCGCTGCTTTCTGTCTCAGCCAAAGTCTGGAGACACTTTAAAATTACTCGTGCTCCGAGTGAGTAACCAACCAGTGTCACAGGCCTAAAAGAATCAAGAGATACCAACGATAAGAAACTACTTTATTTGACTAGAAGTTGGTGTTAGCAGCATTCAGGAAATGTGTATTTGAACGAGATTACCTATTCCCTTGCAGTCCATTTAGTAGCAGTTCAGCAAGCAGCTTCCCAGCTTTGTCGGTCCTGCAGATGGGTCAATTCTGTTAGTGAGATTTTTACAGGCTGTCTCTCCAACACGCCAAAGAGGGATCCATGCACCAACCTGTCGATGGCAATTGTCCATGTACTATCTATGAAACTAGTAGCAGCAAGTAATGTTGTCGGCAAGTATAAGGCTGCCATAAGTGTAGCCATCACAGTCATCATAGCACCTTGCCTCATCAACTGTGACGCAATTGCTAGAAAAGTAGGAACACAATGTCAATAACAATCACAACTGCGCTCAATTTACAAGCACTAAAATTCTCAAAGAAACGAAAAATAGCAGGGATTTCATCTAGAAAGATTACTTGAGGTAAACCAATCCTGAACTGCAGTGCTCACTGCAATTAGATGTCTAGATTCCCATTGCAGTGCATACCTATAAGTAATCACTTTAGATCCATATCACATTCGGAGTACAATGATGCATTTCTTAAGAAAGTGATTATACGGAAAGCAGCAATATTTCCAAATTTGATGGGGTGATATAGATGTTCTCACCTCTCCAAGTTGTCAATTTGTCCTTCCCAGGGCTTGAAGAAATCCTCCTCATCGAAGATAAATCCTGATATCATGATTTCAACAGCCAGCCGCTGGCAGAGAAATTTAATTATTCACAGATGTCAACTTAAAAAAAAAAAAACTAGAAACACGAGTCAAAACCAAGCAGTTCTAGAAAGCAAGTCCAGTATAGAAATTTTGATGCTGATAAGCAAAGCTTACGCCTTGGTTATGGCTGTCTCCCATGGCTTTGAACTCAAATTCTTCTATGCTACCAGTTCGCGTAGCCATTTTGGTTCCTACCAGTCCAGCTCCAGCGGCTAGCTTAATTGAATTTGCCAAACAGAATGCCAAAAAGTTAGTAATTACATCACATGGGAAGGTAATTTATTACTATTGTGCTATAGCGGACAATAACTGGAGAAACTAAAAGAAATCTAGTTGTCAAGGAAGTGGTGAACTGCAGATATATTGCCTAGACAATAAGAATCAATGGATTTTCTGTGTAAATATAAGATTGATTGTAGAGAACTCACTAGATTATTCTAAACAAAATCCTCCATAACCTCCAAAGACATGAAAGATAATGTCTCTTAGGTTAAGTGTCAATTTGATGCCAACTTAACATCGTTAATGACAATCATTTCATGAGAGACATATGCAATCATTGACTCATTGTCTGTTTACAGGAAGAGGATGGAGGATGAAAGGAGAATAAACCAAGCCATATTAGACTAAACCTGCTTTGACAAACATATTCAACCTGCGTTAAAAGAGTCAGATACTTGGATAACAAGTAGAAAATCATGATGGTTTCCATTCAGTCCAACACTTAGCAGGGTTCATACAAATCCAACAGCACAACTCCAAAATATCAGAGATGGAATCTCTTGTATTTCAAATGTCAGCTTATCGGTCTATTCCAAGAATGTAAAAAGAAAATGGCTTTATTGGTGCATATGGAAAGACGACAAAGCCTCACAGGAAAATAAAGAGACAACGCAAACGATGGTCAAACATTCACCTCCAAACGATGCAGCGACAGCAACAGAACCAGCTACAGTTCCTGCGGCGGTTGCAGCTGCTGCGAACCCACTTGCTCCGATCACAGGTATAAGAGTGCCCAGAGTTGGAGCTAGAGCGCCAAACCCTGCTGCAATTGCAGGGGCAGCTAATCCTGTGGTGTGAAAACAATGTGAACAAAAACAGAAACTGGTTGAATGGTAGGTTATAGGCTCAAGTCATACCTTATTCAAAAAAATAAACAGAAATCAAATATAATTGGCAAACAAGAGGGCATCATTACCACCAGTGATAGCCATTAAGGCTCCTCCAGTTATTGCAGCAGTAGTAATGATACTGGCACGCTTGATTTTCGCCCATCTTCCTTCAGCAGATGAGGTTCCCCCCTTCACCTCTTGCTGTTTCAGTATAGCCATTGCCGAGCAAGCTACCATGGTCTCAACGGCTTCCTATGAACAAAGCAAGAAGACGTGGACATTAACCTACTGTACAACATTATTTGACTGCTAATTTTTTCACAAACGCGCAGCATCACTTTGAGAATGTCTTAATCAAGAACAAATATCAATCAATCACAACGAACCATTTTTATCCAACTGATGTCAAGCCAAGTCGACAGCAATCTCAAAGCCAAACGATGCCTAGCATCGTAACCCTTTCTTCGCCTAGTACTCGACTTGTTATCATTATACTTATCTGTGAGGCAAGCTGAAAGAAGCTCATAAAGAACTGTAATTTTCCTGTGGTAACTAATCATTGTTACTTCTTCAATGGGTTTATCATCAACTTTGATGGCAGATTCTTTATCCAGGCTACGAGGACTATGAGAATTAGGTGAACTACTGGCACTTTCCTGTGGCGTTAGAAAGGGTACATTTGGAGCATCCGAATCAGGTTGCCCATTGTCAGAGGCCAATTTCTCACGACACTCATTTTCATACTCCCGATGCTTCTTCTTCTTAGACCTGTATGACACACGTACTGTCTCCATGGTTTGTTCCGTAGCATCAATAGCTTTTGCCAGAGCAATCTCTTTATCTTCGTCTTTAGAAGGGGCACTGCTGTCTTCCGCAAGTAACCTCAAGAACTGGGAACATCCAAAGAAGACATAATAATTTTTTTCATAATCCTTCTGATGGAAATAACCAACAAAGAGACAATGTGATATCAAAAGAGAAACGTACAGCTCCAATATGACGCCTGGCTGCAGCAGAGCCAGCAGTCTCCTCCAGTCCAGACCACGCTGAAGTATCGATCTCCAGAAATCTGTTCAATAGAAAGTTCAATTCAATCACAACTACCAAAATACAGACTGCTTGAACTGAAACTGTGCTGATCAGCATCCGATTCAAACAGAACCATCAATTCGAATCAGACGAGTGGCTTTTCAGCTACAGTTACCAAAACCTATCCAACTCAATGGTCGATCAAGAGCGAATAGCAGCACCTTGATCAAGAAGGGGGGAAAAGATAACAGAATCAAGAAGCAATCGGAAGTATGGGAAGAGGAATTGGAACCTGAAAACGATGCGAAGGAGGCCGGATTTCTCATGGACCCAAAGGTCAGGGTCCTCGGAGACAGAATTGCCACTGCTACTACAGGAACTGGCTCTATCGGCGTCGGTGGGGTCTTCCCCGAAGAACAAGCCCAGCGGGCGGGTTTGATGGATCTGCGCCTGGTGAAGAGCTAGCGCGAACAATGCTCCGGCGGCGTACCTCTGCGTCGGAGGCAGAATGGATGGAGTTGAAGTGTCCATAAAATGAAATCAGAATTTCAGCCCCGATAAGAAAAGCGGCAATCTCTGCTATATCAATTCTGATTTCTTCGCAGCTACAGAAAGTTGAAGAACTGCGGGTCCGAGTTGGCAACGGAGAGCGGTTTGAATTGAGAATTGAAATAATATTATAGGCTAAAGAAACCCTTAAAAGTTAAAATGATACTAGTTTTGAGCCCGGGCTGCTGGCCGGTTGAGACACCGAATAAATAGACTTGAGTTTTGATTCCTTGAAAGCCAACAAGGGAGGGCAACAAAATCCGAACCCACGGGTATCCACCCGACACAATCCGGTCAATGCGGGTAAAATCCGTGTTAACGGGTTTTGGACCGGATTTGGATTTAAACCTGTTCACTATTCACCGGGTTGGGTTGGGGTTTAGGTAAACTCGACCAATGAGTACCCGCCCACACTCATATAATTAATTTTCTCGGTATATTTAATATATTAAACAACTAATCTTATTTATGTTTGTGGAGACATGTCTAATTTTTTCTTTCTAACTGTGTAGAATGAAGTTGATGTTATCGAGTGGAGAGTGAAGAAACTTGATTGAACGGAAGAAGCTTTCAATTGTTCATGTTATTTATGGATAATTTGTGATTTGCTTCAATTTTCTTGAGTTTTCTAGATTGGTGTTGAACAATTTGTATAGTTGATTTGTGATTTGCTTGAATTTTCTAGAATGGTGTTTTATATATGAATAATTTGTATTGGGAGATTGATATTTGACTTTAATTTTGATAGGAACTTGTTATTGTAAATTTTTTACGACAAAAACCCGTGGGTACCCATGAACCCGCGGATACCCAGCAGGTTGGGTTGGATTTGAGTTTTTTCAAACCCAGTGGGTTTTACCCCGGGTTTTTTTCATGAATAAACCCATGGGTTTGGGTTTGGCAAAACCCGATCCAACCCGGCCCATTGCCATCCCTACTTCCACCAAACATAGTTCTTGCCATCACGGCGATCCCCTTACCCCGTATGAGAGTAGATGATAAGTTGATATGACATGATACGTGTGATGGATGTTCACGGTCAAATTTGTTTACCACCTTGCGGTTTTGGTGGATAGACAGGTTAGGGAGTCGCGACCCATGGTGAGTTGGATGGATAGAGCAAGTTGGATGCAAATATGGGAACTCAAGATTCCGCCTAATCTAAAACTGTTCCTGTGAAAAAATTTCAATCGTATTCTGCCTACTACTGAAGCTCTGATTGAGAAAAGGGTCCAGATTTTGCCTCGATGTCCGATGTGTTGGGTGGAATTTGAAACGATGGAGCACCTCTTTTGATGACCCAACCGGCTCAGATTATGGCTCTAGTTGCGCTCCAGTGGCGTATTTGGAAATCTAGAAACTGGGTTGTCTTTGAGGGCAAACATTTTTTTGGTTCCTCAGCTGATCTGTCAATACCATCAGCAACTCCATGAATGGGTGTCCATAGCAGGGGATAGGTTGGTCGGGGATTGGTTTCCTTTGCAGCAGAATCTAGAGGTGGTAGATTCGCCCTCTGTCATCTTTATGTGGGATGGTGTGGTACGTGCTGACTCACATTCAGCAAGAGGGTTGATCTTAAAGTATGGTGGAGGGTCTGTAGTCTTAGCAAGAAGAATGATTTTCGAGAATATTGTTGACCCTCTTGTGGTGGAGACTATTGTCCTTCGTGAAACTATTCAGTGGTGTCAGGACCTTGTCATTGTTCAAGTGGTTTGAAGGTGATGCGAAGGTGCTCAATGATAAGATTAATGCCAATGATGCGAAAAAACCCGTGTTGGGGCTATTATTAAGGAGATTTCACGTATAATGGCTTTGAATAGTAGTTTTCATGTTCGATTTGTGGGTCAGATTAGCAACAGGGTATCCCATTCTATGGCTAGGAAGACCCTTTCTTTGCCTCCGACTTCGTGTCGATTGTATGATTTTAGTTCCTGGGGTGGGTCCAGAGTGTAATCCATTATCTTTTTATGAGTCAATGTGATTATCTTTTTTTTTAAAATAAAACCAAGATGTTCCACAAGTTATCATTCCATGAAGCTTCTTCTATGTTGAGTACATTCTAAGCAATTCCTTAGAAGCAACTAGATGCAATTTGACGTGGGATTTTAGTTGCATCGTCCATGATAGTTAAGTGCGTAATATAAACTTCAGGAACATTGGCCATAAATTTGTCAAATCCATACCTTTCCCAGCAAAGATGTAGTTGTTATCATCTACAAATATATAATAGTAGAGTTAAGGGGGTTCTCTACATTTCAAATTTTCTCTAACGGGACAAAAGTAGAAATGTTGATTTGTCTTTATTTATTTATTATTCATAAAAAATACAGCAATCATGGCAACCATGATTTCTTTAAACAAGGACATGATTCGTTACCAATTACACTAAACAAATTTATCTATTTTTTATATAAAAATGATAAAGAAACTTAAAATCAACTGGGTGGTTTTTTATTTCAAGCGGGTTTGGATACAGGGTTTGTGGCGACATCTCAAGGGTCCGATTCAGGAGTGGCTAGGGATTCCTATCATAAATGTCATGGAGCTTGTGGGAGGAGGGTGAGTGCTTAGTGTCGACAGAGGAGGAACAAGGCTACAAGTCGACTTGGTTTGTTCCTTCTTTTTTTTTTTTGACCAAAGGCATTGCTTTTCAATTAAGTGCGGCTGAAGCCAGAGAGATTACAAAAGATGCAAAATTACATCAAGGACCTGAACCCACTGAGATGGCAAACTGTTTTTAGCTCTAGACCTAGCCACCCAGTTAGCTTTCGCGTTGTTTTTCCTTTTGATGTGGGAGATCGAAATCCATGGGTGATCCTCGATGGTATTCCTGATGCTGCCAAGCCATGCTGAGACACGCCAAGGCCAGGCTCGCTGGTGCCCCTGTAGAGCATTTATGAGGGAGAGACAGTCAGACCTGACCAGGCAAGGGCTGTGTATGGTTGCGGCGAGCAGCGTTCCTTTGAGTAATGCTTTCGCTTCTGCTTCAATAGGTGAAAAGCAATGCAGGGGTTCAGCCAGCCCGTCACATACTTGTCCATAGGCGTTCGTGACAACGACGCCATAAGCCGCCTCCTGGGATGCTTCGAAGAAAGAACCATCACAGTGTATTTCAAACTTATGAATACTTGGCGGTGGAGTAGTATGATCCAGGGGTGGATCAGGGTGAATGGGCGGGGTAGTACATGGCTGTGGCCGTGGACACTCGTTCCATTGTTGGGACTCCAGAAGAGCTCGTGAACTCGTCGATGGGGGCCAAGGGGCCTTGCCCCTGAAAATGAACTCGTTTCTCGTTCTCCATGTCTGCCACATCAAGAAAATAATCTTTTGGATCATTCCAATATTGTACCTGGCCTGCACAGGGAATAGCCAATCCAAGATGGGGGTGAGCAAGGGGGGGAGGACCAGGGAGGGCCATTCTTGCGCCCATCCGGCTGCCGCGTGGGGGCAGAGGAACAAGATATGATGGATCGATTCAATGCTTTCCAAACAGATGGGGCAAGATTTGGTGACAGAGCATCTTCTGGAGAACAAGTTCTCTTTAGATGCCAGAGCCCCCTTCGTACATTTCCATACGAAGAACTTAAGCTTTGGAGGAAGAGAGAGGCTCCAAAGCCACTTCCACCTTTCTTTGCTAGATGAATCTGTCATCTGACCAAACTGTGACATCCGAACCTGATTGTGGAAGAGGTGAAATGCAGATTTCACCGAGAACACTCCATTGTCTGTGAAACGCCATGCCCAGATATCCTCGAGGGTCTCCGGACCAATAGGGGTGGCTGAGACCTGTTTAAGATCCAATGGGCTGAGGTAATCAGCGAGGAGGTCGAACCTACAAGTTCGATTGATCCCATCGATCCATTGGTCAACCATCGACCCATCTGGCCAATCGAAATGGAGAAGAGGACCCGGTCTATCAAACCTTCAAGGATCTTGGAACATCCTGGTTGTTTTTCCGTTACCAATCACCCTTATGATCCCCTGCTTCATCCACTTTTTCGCCTCCCACAAGCTAGCCCACATCCAAGACGCTTTTCCACCTTTCTTAGCACTCAAGAAATCATATTTCGGGTAGTAGATTCTCTTCAGGACCTTCACCCACAGTGCATCCGGACAGGTGATAGCTCTCCAAGCCTGTTTCGCAAGCAAGGCGAGATTAACGGTATGGAAAGGTCGAAACCCAAGTCCTCCTTCCTCCTTCGGGGCATAAAGTACATGGCCTGCTCTCCAATGGATGGTTTTCTTGGACAACGACCCACTCCAAAAAAAATTCTTCAACATGGAATCCATCCTCCTTGTTGCTGATCGGGGAAGGAGGAACAAGCACATGATAAAGGATGGAACAGCTTGGAAAACTGCTTTTAGAAGTACCTCTTTTCCGCCAGGTGAGAGGAGAAGACTCTTCCACGATTCACCTCTAGCTTCCATCCGCTGCAGGAGGAACTGGAACGTTTCTTTCTTAGAGCGCCCCCAATCGGTGGGGACTCCGAGATACTTGGAGTGGCAAATATCCGAAGCAAAACCAGACCTTTGAGTAATCATCTCCTGTTCGAGAATGGGAACATTGGCACTGAAGAAGAAGGAAGATTTTTCCCTGTTGACCTCCTGCCCTGTGATCGATCCATACTCGTTGAGAATACCCAAAATGACTTCAGCTTCCCCAACTGACGCTTTCCCAAAAATAACCGTGTCATCCGCGAAGAGGCAATGTGTAAGAACTGGACACTCCCTGTTCAATTTTATGCCTTTAATAACCGTCTTTGTGCAGCTTTCTCAATCATGAAAGACAATGCATTAGACATAAGGATGAAGAGGAGTGGGGATAAGGGGTTTCCTTGGCGGATGCCTCTCGAGGGTTGGAACTCGGTTGATGGCTCCCCATTGAATAACAACCTGAATTTGACTGTCGAGAAGCCTTATGCTCTGAGCAGGTTAATGAGGAAATCCCATTCAACCTGGTCATAGGCCTTCCTCATGTCGAGTTTCAACATCATCTCCTTGCTCTTCCTCATTTTATTTTTTTTGAAATGGTTGAGCACTTCATGCACAATCACAATGCTATCTTGGATTTTTCTACCCCCTGTGAATGTAGATTGGAGCTCATTAACCAGGTCAGGAAGCCATGGTTGTAACCTGTTGGTCATAATCTTCGTAATGACCTTAT